AAAGCTTTATATTTATTGGGTTGGTGAATTGAAAACTGCGGGATTTTGAACTAAAATTTATTCAACATAAAACCATAAATTCATTCCAAATAATTTCCATTATTATTGACGACTTCTGCCCATTTTACAGGCAATTTGCGGAGTCCTCGTTCGTAGTAAGATTTTGGTTTTGAATCGAAAAACTTTTGGAGCCAATTTTTGACTGCTTCTTCCGAATTGAAGTGTTCTCCCGCAAGCTCATTACTCATGGTCCGGAAGAAATAGGAATCAGAAGGGGCAAGGTCCGGACTGTATGCGGGATGCGCCAAAAGTTCCCAACCAAGGCTGTTAATTTTAGAGCGAGTCAGTTTTGCAACATGAGGGTGTCGTGGATGAGAACGATCTTTGACTTGGACGGCCTATTCTTCTTTCATTCATTCACGGGGCGCGTATCAAATGTTCTAGAATCTTAATTTTATGGTCAAGGATCACTGTTCTCAATACTTGGCATATAATTTTCCTCACTTAACTCTTAACAGAATAGTTGGTTTTCCGAAAAAAGCTCTTTTTTTATTTCTTAAGCCGTAGGAAACATTTTTGGCATGATTGGGGTAGGGTAGGAAAACTTCTTTTGACAGGAAAATTCATATAAAAATTCATAGAAATTCATTCTTTTCATAGAAAAGTGTGAGCACACTGCGTACATTGATCCAAGACCAAGATCCATCTCTTTTCAGTTTCACCTGTACTAGAACTAAAGAATAGAGAAAACTTTATATGTATTATATTGCTCCACCATTCTAGAGAAACTATCGTTAGAGATTCAATTCGAAAAGCAGAGATCTTAAAATAGCTCTTAATTCTTTTCCACTTTCGCTTTATTGTAAGTTTCATTTAAATGAATTCATCCTAGGGATGCATTATTTGACGCTTCTCTTGACGGCGATTCCAGCTGTGGGCCTTCTCCTGAACATCTTCCTGTTCTACGTGATTTGGACGAATCGGCGAGTGGCGAGCGCCTATTCGGGTTTCCTCATGATCAGCACCATCTACACGTTCTGCTATGCTCTTGGCACGATGACCGTTGACCCAGTAAGTGTGGGCATAAGAAAACAGTACTATGATAAAGCAAGGAGTTGACCATTCTCACTTTTTGGGTTATCTTTCATCTTTGTTAGCCTATTCCCATTGCAGATGTTTGTGAATGACAACCACGGCTACACAATATTCAGCCTTCGTTTGGTGACATTCGGTGCTGAATGGAGCCGTTACGGGGCCATCGCTCAGAATCTCATTTTTTGTGCTGGTTTCGTTTTCTCTTTCGTTCACACTCTCTATAGATATTGCACGATCACTGGGTTAGTTTAAAGATCTGGAAATTATTAAATAGTTATGTTTGACAATCAAAACTGCTTCACAAGCCGAGGTTTTTCAAGTAATTTCCTCATTAATTTAGTAAAACTAGGTAGGATGAGTTCTATACAAAAATGCAAGCCTGCTACCCAAAGTAGCTATAACAACTATAATATGTATGTATATCAATAATTCTAGAAAAATGTCCTTCATTTTCGATACAAAACTCGGTCTCTTCTTTGTGATCTTCTCTCCAATTGCCTTCAGTGCTCTCTGGCTTTTCATGATCATCGCTACACAAGAGGTTGGCCAAGAAAGGAATGTTCTAAACGGAAGGTATGCGATTTTGATGGCAAGAAGATGCAAACACCATTCGGCAATCCAGTACTGGATTTAGTTTTTGTCAAGGAGACCGCATTCTCGAGAAAAACGCGTTTAAAATTTGAGCATCTACTCGGAAAATGACTCCTGGAGGCTAAAAAGGGAATGATCCGAATTGAATGTGACCGTTTGAGATGAGTGATACCTCATTCAATAGATCTCGTGATGAATATTGATGAGCAAAAAATTAGCTGTCCAAAGTAACTCTACAACGAGGGGCGGACAAGGAGTAAAAATGACATTTTTTTTACCCTCCTTGATGGGGTTGGAACTTTTTACTGAATCAATATTTTTGCATAAATTTTTGTATTTAATAGAACTTGAATGAAACTAAAAAATAGTAAAATTTAATTCCCAAAGTATTTATAAAATTTTACATTTCAAAGCTATTGATTTTAGCCAAAGTTTAATGAATTTTTTTTAATAGGAACATCGTAAGTTTCTATAATTAATGAAAGTTTATTTTTTAGTTTCATTCAAGTTCTATTATATGCAAAAAAAAGATTATTCAAAAATATTGATTCAGTAGAAAGTTCCAGCCCTGTCATGGAGGGTCAAAAACGTCATTTTTGCTCCTTGGCGGCCCCATTTCTCGTTGTAGAGCTAACTTTGGAGAGCTAATTTTTCATCATGAGATCTATCGAATGAGGTATGGCTCATCCAAAACAGTCACATTCATTTCTGGCTTGACCCTGTAAGTAGTCTTTATCGAATTTGAATCCGAGAGCAAAATTCGCTGCGGGCGCACTACCCACTAGGCCATCGGGCCACATTTTACCGAGTTTACCGACCTCTTAGCCTCCAGGAGCCACCTTCCGAGTAGATGCCCGAATTCTAAACGCGTTTTTTCTCGATAATGCGGGCTCCCTGGCAAAAAATAAATCCAGTACTGGATTCCACGAATGGTGTTTGCATCTTCTTGCCATTAAAATCTCATACCTTCCGTTTAGAACATTCCCTTATAAGAGATATTTTCTGTTTTTTTGTATGTGAATTGTTGGTAAACATTGTATAAATCTTCGAATGTTTCAGCCAACCGTGGAACGACTCGGTGATCGAGCTCGAATGATCTATGAAATGTTTCAAGTGAATCTCACAACCGATGGCTTCACTGGGGGACAATTCTGGGTAGAAAAAACCGCGTTACTTTCACATTTCTTTTCTTTGTTTTCAAAATGATTAGGTTCATAAAGTCCTGAGAGATAATTGCTAGTCGAGAACCCTTTACAACTTTTAATAAGCCCCTAATTGTGGTCGCTTTTGAAAACTTTCTGACGTTGATTAGCTAAAGTACGAAAAAAAAACTGAAATAAGGAAGTTCATTCAGATTCAGAGGAAATTCAGAGGTAAAAAGGCTAAAAATTGGATTTAGTGAGTTTTCAAATGTCTATTGTCTAGGATACTGATGGTATTCGATGGTTGGATTTAAATGGAGCTCTAGCGCTGTCTTTCATGTCCGGCATCATTTTCCAATTGAACGTTTTTATCACTTGGAAACTGTAAGTTTTTTGGTCTCAAAAAAGATATGGCCAAAACCGAATTAGGCTAAACTTGTGTATTTAGCCATGGACACGTGAAAACGGTCGTTTGTTCACAGGCCACTCGAGAGGCTCAAGCACAACTCGTGGCCATCTTGACTGCCCAGGTACATGATTCGCCGTTTTCACAAATATTAACAACTCAAAATATGACTTCTATACGACTGTTTTCTCTCCAATCTTTTATCCGAGCGGAGATGCTTTTTCCTTAATTGATAGCGATATCTGATCACAATCGATAAACTTCTTAGCTTAGTAAATATGAAAGGTTATTTTTCACAAAAAACATTGCCCTGTCGTTACGAAGAACATTCACTATCTAGGATTTTTCTCAATAATATCTCAAAATGTGCTTATGTTTTTTTGCAAAAACTTTTTTGTTTTGAATAATATTTGCTATGTTTCAGCTCGACAAAGATGGATGACCAAAAATTTAAAATCAGGGCTGCCATATTCTTTGAATTCAAGTTAAACAAGAAAGCTACGGAATGCCATCAGAACATTTGTACTGTTTTTGGAGAAGCTGCTCTTAATTACAAACAATGTTATGTTTGGTACGATCGCTTCAAAACGGGAAACGAGTCATGGGAAGATGCACCACATGGGAAGCCACCGATTACTTTGGACGATCAGCTGTTACTGAACGAGGTCGACTTGGATCCATCGCAAAAGTGTAGAAAATTAGCAGGAAAGTTCGGATGCACTCATGTTACCATTTAAAACCATTTATACGTTCTTGGGAAATCATATCGAAGCGGGAAATGGCTCCCCCACGACCTCACTGATGCTCACAAAGCCATACGAGTCACCCTGAGCTCTTTTCTTCTACGCAAAGCTCACCATCGTGACTTTTGGAAGTATTTTTTGACATCTGATGAGACTTGGCTTCCGTATGAAAACATTCAACTCCATGGACAGTGGCTCAGTTCGAAGCAGACCCCTCATCCAATCCCGAAGCCTCCGATACACGGGAAGAAAGTTATGCTCTGTGTGTGGTGGAATACTACGGGATTGGTTTATCTTGAAGTATTAGATAAAGGCGAGACTGTTGATGGAAGACTTTACGCAGAACAACTGGGTCGAGTCCATCAAGCACTGAGGAAAAAGCGGATCGATCCATCAAAGGTCAGATTTCTTCACGACAATGCTAGGCCGCACATTTCAAAGATCGCCCACGAACAGATCGATAAGTCGGGATGGAAACTTCTTCCTCACCCACCATACAGCCCTGACCTAGCCCCATCGGATTACCACCTCTTTCAGTCTATGAAACAAGCGGTTTCTGGAAAGCAGTTCAAGCAAAAGCAGGACATTGAAAATTGGGTTGCCAACTATTTTGCCTCTAAAAATCTTCAATTTTACGAGGACAGCATTCGTGATTTGGGGCGACGTTGGAAAGAAGTTATTAATGCTGCTTGTGGTGAATACATTTGATTTTGAAAGTGTTTAAATAAATTTTTCTGTCGTGTTAAAAATGATCAAAAAAATAACCTTTCATATTTACCAAGCTAATAGGAAAAATACAAATACAAGATATTCAGTCAACAATGCGAAAAATGTTTACAATTCGAAAGGCAATCTACAAAAGGGTTCTTTTTTTCTCAACTTATACAAATTTTGGTACCAATATTTGGTACAACTTTCACTAGCGCAAACTATGATTAGAAGAATCAAATCAATCATCTTACCTTTTATAAAATGAGTTTCCAGTTGTGCGTCACGTGTATCACGGAGATAATCCCATGTACAATGGTGATATGGGGAGGATTTCTTGGTTAGTTTGACAAAGAACTGATATAAATAGCCAAGAATTGGTCCATTTCAACTTATTAGGCCTGGGTCTTTTCCATCTTTTAAATAAAATGCTTACATTTTTAGGTCTGAGCTCCCTGTGCCCATACAGTCCCGTGATCGCCAATCTGTTCCCTACATTCAACGTGTGCATCATCGTCCTCCTAGTGAAGGTAAGAAAAAGGAGAACTACTAATAAAAACATAGAGTTTATATGTAATATATCTTAGCTTAGAAAATATTTGATTGGTTTAGGCATTCCGTCTCCGAACCCTCGAGATCTTCAGCTTCTGCATTAAAATCAAGGCGAAGGAAACGTGAGGCACAATTGTGTGAAAGATTTTGAAAATTTCAAAAGTGTATTTCAGTTTTCACTCCGCTTACTCGATCACTTCCATCAATCCATTTGTGGTCGACAAAGGAAATGCTCCGCAATAATCAATTTGTCTTTTATAAGCTATAATAAGCTTCTTTTAGTCTTCGGTGTTTTTGTTTTTGAGGAATTCCTTGTAAAGCACGATTGTTTGGTTTTCGTTAATCATAGACTGATCGGGTTCTAAGGAAACTAGAAAGTTCTCTATGTTAGGATGGTTAATCTAAGATTAGGTCGACTTTTTGGTAAATCAAGCTTTTAAATCCATGATATAGCTCAAGTTACTTGATGACCAAAATGATTAAATGGGCATTGTTAACAGAAAAAAAACCCCGTCTGCTTTTTTTTTCCAATTAACGTTATTTCATTTTTCAACAATTTAAATTTAAAGCAAAAACACTTGCAACAATATGGGCACTTGATATATGCGGTAACATTGTGAGTTCCGGCTGTGTCGCATTTTTAAAGACAAACGTGTGAACCCAAACAGAACGCAACGGGTGTAAGAAAATAATCAAAATTTATTAGAAAGTTTCAAACCCTTGTTCGCTGGGTGGGAAGCAAAAAATGGCCGCATATGAGTAGAAGAACAATTTCGCTCGAGTCAAGCCAAGATCTTCATAAGCTGAAAAAAGTGATCGCCCAGATTTGACCCTTTTGAGTCAGTTAATCGAAAAGCTAATTAAACTTACGAACACAAATTGCATATGTTGGAACAAGGATGTATACTGTCCAAGAACTCACCTCCATATCAACTTTAAGCACCTCTTTCAGCATTTATTAAGCTGGCTAATAAGTAATGGCAGATTTGCTGGGAGACGGTCTCAAACTTAATCAATCTTAACGAGTTTAGTCCTGTTCGAAAGCTGTATTTAGTAGGAACACAGTATTCAATAGGAACAAAGACCATTTGTTGATTCGTTCCGTTTTCAAATTTTTATAAGCATTTAAATGAGCTCAGTCAGACCCAAAAAAGTCTCAGGATCACATTTCGTCAATTTTTTGGTTAAAAACCTAGGCTAAAAACATGTTTTTCGTGATGAGCGGGTAAAATTACCCTAGGTAGCGTAAACTTTGATCTTTTTGCAGAAAAAAGTTGAAATTTGGTTGGGAGTCCACCCCCCGACCCTCGGATTAACGAGTCGCCAAGTCGCACAGCTGAAATTCTAACCTCAAAACTCGACAACAACAGCAACAACTGTAAAAAACACGAAAGAAACAATTAATCAACAACATAATTTTCATTATTATCGATAATTGTTTAAAGAAGGTGCAGTTCAAAAGAGAAAAAGTTACTTACGTTTTTTGAGCAAAGTGAAAAAATCTCCCCGATCGACCCAGTAAACCTTGCCGCCAAGTCGATTCCATTGTGGGCCAAGTCCAAGTCCATTGCGGGCCGAGTCGACAATCAAACCGTTGCGGCCGTTTTGCTGAAAAAAAAATAAGTGTAAAGTTGTTCAATAGATCGATTCACTTTAAGGTGCCGAAAACTTGTACCTTAATACCTGCAACGACCGCCCACTTCAATGACCAACTTTAGGCGCCCCGTGCTGAGCCGAATTTTGAGCTATAAACATGTGTTATATATCAAAAGATAGCCCTACCTCTCTACTATCTTTTAGTAGATAACACATGACGTTATCTTGAAATGGTGCTGAGAAGGGAGTGTCTAAAGTTGAGGTACGGCGCTTATTAGGGGAATTACGGTAACTATTGAGCGGGAAAGATGAAAGTGAAAGTTATTTTTGTTCACTTTGCAAAGTCAATATCTCCAATATATAATGCTCTGGATAAGAGCGTTCTGACTTTGCACAAGTCTTTCCACCGACCTTTCGCCTCGAAAAGCAAGAGATCTTGCACCATGTAGCTCTCGACTTATTCCAGTTTGATCCGAGTTGGCAAAAAGTATTCGACTAGTTTGTTTGATTTCATCGTGAATCTCCTTTACAAATGTTTTACTCATTTCATCGAATGTTCTCATGTTTGTTAAATTTTTTGTTTTTTATGATATTTATATTTGTTGTTGAACACTTAAATAGAAAGATTTGAACAAAATTTTTGAATATTTAGCAATTACGAAGAGAAGGGGGTTAGAGAACATTATAAAACAACTGTTCAAAAAAAGAAAAACGTAAAGGGAGTCGAACGGCCGACCTACAGCGAGATCAACATCAACATCAGTAGGAAATAAATAGAAATTGAGGATTTCTTGAGATTCCATCAAGGAAGAGATAACCGTGGAAGAAAATTCTGACATCAAATGAGATTTTCGCGTCGCGTTTCGCGTGGTTTGCCGGGAATTTCATCGCCAACATTCTCCAATCGTTTCTGCCAACATTTTTGAAGGAGTCTCTTTATTTGCCAATGCATCAAGTTGGTTTAACAAGATCGAAATAGCCAGTTTCTTTTCCAAGACTCATTAATTTAAGAATTTTCAAAAAAGACACCAAAAGAGTGGGTTTTCCTCAAAGTTTCGTGTTGGCTTGAAAAAATTGGGAATAAAATCAAGAAACGACTAGGTGGGCCTCTACACAGCCCTCCCATTTATCTCTCAACTTGCCTTCAAATTCAAATCATCATTCCCACGGAACCCTCGACGTGAGCACCGTCGTGAAATTGTTTCAAAGCATCAGTGGGTTTATGGTCAGTTCGAAACTTTCCCTTTAAGGCTGCTTCGGTTCGGCGATTGCCGGTCTACTGCTTGTCATTATTCCCACGTGTGCCCACCCGCACTACGCACTCGTTTTTTTGATTTTCTATGGTATCGAGGTTTATAGAAATTTTTCCGGTGCTATGGGAGTTTAGAGGGGCACTCAAAATTTGCATTTAACTTTTCTGTTCACTTTCACCATGACTACAATCAGAAAAGGATTCTAAAAACTAACTATTATGAAACTAACTAGTCAAAATTAACTACCAAACCTTTAAACATTCTATTTTCTTCTAAAATTTTGACAAGATCGCTCTCAAAAACCCCAGAAATAAGTAGCGTGCCGAGTGCCGCTATGAAAACTCTCCAACAGTACACAACAGAGCACTGAAATCAAGACTATTGCTAAGCTTGAAACGTAAAAACAAAGCAGAACAAAAATTATATTTGATTACAAAGTTTCAGTGAGCTTTTGACGAAAAGAATGTCAGCAACAAATTCTTCAAAGGTTCACCTGTCGATGAAAGACTCGAGAAGCCATACTTGAGCATCAACTTCTCACATTCAGTGCTCTTTCTCGAGCCAGGACCTCCAGAAAGAGCTAGAATTAACCCCAGGTTTTGATGTTGATTTTGATGCTTTTGAGACTACATTTTGAAGTTGCTGTTTTTTTCCGTAAAAACACTCATTTTCTCAAAAATTTTAGCCTTTTTGGAAATTTTCATCTGCGTGAGACAAAAATGTCACGAGAAAAGGTGGAAAGAAATTTCAAAGAATACAATTTTCACGCCGCTAATTGAGCTTTCTGTGGGAAAATATGGATATTTTTTATGTGACAGGCTCCCTCGTAACTCACTCTGTCGTTTCTGAATTTTGTGAAACTTTTCTTTCTTGGCTGTACACAAATTTTTCAATCAGTAAAGTGCTGATTTCTTCTTTTGATTTTTAAGAAAACGTACTCAGTAAAAATAGATAGAATAGAAATGAACTAGATCCTTTACATATTTTCATTCAATTTTTCTCTCTCATAACTCATGACTACATTAGATTAGATCTCATAACTACAGTAGGCCAAAGTTTTAAGAGTTTTATAATGTTCCTAAACTTTTGCACATAATTTCTTTATAAAATCTTGGCCTGAAAACTGACAGCTTACATGATTTTGATCATGTAATGATTTTACAAGGTGTTCCAGAAGTACGAGCACTTTTTCTCTAGCTTCGTCTAGAGTTAACCATTTTCCATGAATCTTGGTAGAATTTACTGCTTATTTTCAACACTTTACGTCAATACTTTACTTAGAAACTTAAAATTAGCAATTCTATAATATAAGGTTGGAAAGAAAGTTCTCGGAAAAGTTTGACTGGAATTTCTTAAAAACGAATCCAACAATTCAAGAACTTTTTCTTCTATTATTTACAATTCGACTCCAAGAAATTACTCGTAAAAAATGAGTGCAGCTTTTCCTTAAAATTATAGAGATTTTTGAAAAAGTCTTATTTTCCAGCTATTATTCATTATTCAGCTCACTTTTTGCACTAGAAAAACAATTCCTTATGAGGTAAAGCTAGCATAAATGAGCAATACGCTCTATAATCTCTATTTTTGGCCAAGAATTTTTTTATAGAGAAGCTGCATTTGAAAAAATCATTTTTCAGTGTCATCTTCTTGGCACTGAGTGTTTGCTAAAATAGGTGATTCTGAAAGGTTGCCTTAATCACAAATTTTCCCTATTTTAAGTACTTGATTTTAGGTTTTGAATGGAACCCATTGCTTATCCATTAACCCATTAAAAACTTGTTTAAAGGCTGGCCACTCAAGTCACTTCGGTCACTTCAGCTGAAGAAATCTCTTATTTTTTTTACCTGAAGCCCACTCTAATTTTTTTTGTCAAAAACTTTTTGAAATATAGTCAAGTTCACCAAAAAATCTGGAAAGAATTCATGGCTTGGTTTTTGAGAAATTAACATGCAAACTTTTCCCGAGAACTTTCTTTCCAATCTGATGCTTACGATTTTCAATTTTAAAAGTATCAAGCGAATAAAAGGAAATCCAGTATTGCTTTACTGCTAAATCTAATGACTAACGATTTTCTTAAAACTTTAAAACCTAACCAACTATTATTAATCTTTGCTATTTATCTAAATACTTATATTTACATTTATTATGGTAACTTAAAGTTAGTTTTGACCAACATTTCATTATACTAACTTGTACAGGGTGTTCAAGAATTACGGGCACTTTTTCTTTAATGCCTAGCTCCGCCTAGTTATTATTGGTAATCAATTAATTATTGGTAACTTTTTTGGTAGAATTTACTGCTTATTTTCAACACTTTTGTTCAATATTTTACTCAGAAACTCAAAATTAGCAATTCCCCAAAAATCCGCTTCAGGTCCTCTGGGACCTGAAGCGAACCGCTGTTCCTTGTAACCAAATTTTGAACTTCAAGAGTTACTTTAATAATAACTATACAATCATGGATGAAACCCTTGTAAATGCCTAAATTACAAATCTAGAAAACCTAAGCTGTTTGCTACATTTTTGAATAGTAATTGTTTATGTTCAAAATTTGCTCGCAAGAAACCGCGTCCCAGAGGCTCTTAAGTTCTATAGAATTGCAATTTTGAGTTTCTGAGTAAAATATTGAATAAAAGTGTTAAAAATAAGCTGTAAATTCTACCAAGTTTTATGCAAAATCGTTAATTCTAGACGGAGCTAGGTACTAGAGAAAAATAGCCCATAATTCTTGAACACCTTGTAAAATACAAGTCTAATTCAAAAAGTCTAGAATACAAGTCTTGTCAAATGGATTCATTTTTTTGCTTTATTTACTGTAATCATAATTTGCGTTAATCAAATGGATTTTCAGAAGAATCTCTCTTGCAATGACGTCTTTTTCCGAAAAGCAACTGGCCGAGTTCAAAGCGGCATTCAGCGTCTTTGACAAGGATCGAACGGGTACGATCACGGCGAATGAGCTGAAAATAGTGATGGAGTCACTCGGGACGAGCCTTAACGAGAACGAGCTCGCGAATTTGATGTCAAAAGGAGATTCGGACGGAGATCGGACCATAGATTTCGCCGAATTCCTCAAAATGATGGCTGGCAAGATGAAAGATACGATCTGGGAAGCCAAGTCGCAAGATTAATAAACATTTTTGCAGTGAAAGATTCCATCGAATAAGCAACGAGTTACTGTTTTTGAATGGATTTTCCGAAAACAAAGTTTCACCTAAGACGAATAGTTTATTTTGGCTTCAAAAGTGGCATTAGAGAGGTATTTGAAGACGAACAAAACCATTTTTTCTCAAAAAATCCAGTTTTATCTTATAAATTTGTCGTTTGAAGTGTCACCAAAAAAAAACAGAAATTTTGCTATTCGTTTTTGAAAAATGATTCGGAAATGCGAGAAATCTGGCAAACAAGCTTGAGATCAAATTATAGCTCAAATTAATTTCATGCATTCACTTTATAGATTGTTGTCACATGTGTTATTTTGTTTGTTATCAATTAAAATATGTCATAATACTTATTGCAAAGTAAAAATAGAGCGAATTCGAGCAGCTAAACATCAAAATAAAATAAAAACCAAAGGAAGGAATCGAACCCGAGCAAAAACTTGACAGCTTGTTTCAGAGACAAGACCCCTATCCACTAGACCACAAGCCCATATATTTAGACGGTGAAAGAAGCCTTATTTTTTACTGACTTTTGTCCTCTAATTTGCCAGATTTCCTGCGTTTCCGAATCATTTTGCAAAAACGCATAGCAGCATCGGAATCAGCGTAAAATTCTGCGTCGTATGATATATGGCTCATTTCATTTGGTCATCTCAGTCTTGTCTGTGGATTTTATGTAAATTTTCTTTTTTTCTTGAATTGAAAGAAAGCAAGAGCATAGTTTACCCACTTATCTAGAGCAAAAGCACCCTCATTCACTGAGGTTTTGAGTTCTTTAGAGCAATGAGAGCCCATTTGGGATCGCTGTGAGTGAAACGTTGGTGAACAACTGAATGAATGCTTTGAATCTTCTCTTTGGTCGTAAAAGGTCAATCAGTCAAGTTCACACAAAAGAATTACATTAAAAATGTTGAAAGGACTTTTTGACAAGACTATTCTAGACTTTTTGAATTAGACTTGTATTCTACAAGGTGTTCAAGAATTATGGGCTATTTTTCTCTAGTACCTAGCTCCGTCTAGAATTAACGATTTTCCATAAAACTTGGTAGAATTTACAGCTTATTTTCAACACTTTTGTTCAATATTTTACTCAGAAACTCAAAATTAGCAATTCTGAAATTTGAAAAAAGCAAAAAACGTTGAGTGTCAAGGCTTCTCAAATTTTCTCCAAAAGTGTATTTTGTGAAGATCTCGGGATATTTTGTGACATCCATTGACTCGAAATGAACTGTCTCAAAGAGCATCTCTGATAAGGGAAACTAGAAAAACGGTTTATCTCAGTTCACTCTGACAAATGAAAACCTCAATCGCGGCCCTGTTACTCCTGTTCAAAGTTAGGGAGATTGTTGCTGTTTGCCCCGATGGATATTCACTTGAACCAGCTCTTCAGCAGTGTTTTCTCATGACGGGAAAAACGGGTAAATGTTTGCTGTTTATTTATGAGAAATTTGCAGCTTTCCTTGTGAAGAGACAAGCATTTTTGTGGAGCAAATGTTTTTTCGTTCGATCAGCCTCACAACTTTTTTGAGAAAACTTCAATATAGTGACTCATTTACTCAGGAAAAAGTAAATCAAAGCCCAGTTAAAGCTGCGATATCACGAGAAAGTCGAAGAACTTTGCGAAAATTATATCAAAACTTCTTTCTATAAGCACAGCTAAAGCACTTGTCAAACCCTCTCAACTTTCAGGTAATTGGTCATCCGCCTCGTCGTTTTGCCAATCAACCGGTGGCAATCTTCCCTCGATTCACAATGCTTTCCAAAACGCCGCTTTAGCCAAATTTTTTGGAAGTTCTCATTTTTATCGTCCATTTAGTGCCCATTTTTTAGCCGCCTTAAATCTCGGTAACAAGTTTTGGTTGGGTTTCTACAGTTGTTGCTTTGGACCGGTCTGGTTTTGGACTGATGGAACACCCGATGATTACTACAATTTTGCATCAGAACGTGCGTTTTTTGTTAATATTGTGTTGAGTGGAGCATCGAAATGATCCAAACTGAGCTGACGTTTCAGGATAAGCTCGGAATGCAAACAGTCGGCAATGGGGACAATCCAAATATCTATTCAGTTTTTGAAAAAAATTAAAATCCTGGCGAGAAAAATGCCTTGAAGTTTGAAGTTTCGACCAACTTTTGAAGCTTTAAAGTTTTTGAAGTTTTCGAAAAATCGCCAATAGAGCGTGCCACAAGCGAGGGAAGATAGGGCAGGGTAGTGGATAGTGTCGGCGGCTGTGCGGCTTAGAGGATAGTGTGCGGACTATAGAACCGATACGGGGACTTGCGGTGGGTTCGAGTCCCGCCGTCAAAATCTTTTGAAAGACAGACGTACCATTTTTAAGTGCTTATCGAAGACTTTCAAAAGTCATTTACAAGAGAAATGATTGAGCTATCCAATGAGAAACTGTATTTCATTTGATAGCTTTAGACTTATTCAATTAGAAAATGAATTTGAGTGAAAGGCTTAGTACTCGACCGAATCGTAAGCAAACCAAATACACTGTTGTGAGGAGAATTTTTTAAACCTTCAGACAGCGAGGCAAGAGGATGGCACCCATACTTGGATTTGGACACCCAAACGTGGCCAACAGTCGACGGGGCTACAGAATTGGCGTTCATTTGTGCGGCACCCGATTCAGCTTCCACTCGTTCAATGGACCTCCATCAACTCAGTCGCAGGTCTTGTGTTTTTAGAGAAGTTTCGCGTTTAACCGTACACCCATCACTCTTTTTGTATTAAACAGATTCTGTTATCTTCAAAACAAGAAACGAAGAAACGGACCTTTTCTAAGCCTTTGACTTGAACCTATCAAGAACCACACTTATTTTTCAGAACGAAGCACACTCAATGAGCAGAGTGAATCTGGAAAAAAGACCGAAATTTGAATGATTCTGTGCATTTACTCTTACTGTATAAAATTACTATTGTGCCATCGTTTGAGTGCTTAGTGGAGGTTTTATTTTTAATTTCAAAGCATTTGCTGTACTCGACTCCTTGATTTTTCGAGCGATAGTTGAGAATCTGAAAAAACCGTCCGGAGTCTTTTACGGACAGGTATTCTGAAAAAAGTAGTTATCAGACATTTGATACACGCCCCACCCCTTTTGCCATTGTCAATCTAACTTCGAGCTCAAATATATTGGTGTTGGTTATCCAATTTGTAAGTTATTGGTATCATTGGATGCGCCAAGTCTTTCTCTGTCGATTGGTACAAAAACTATTTAAATTGAACAACCCAACACCAAGATATTTGAGCTCAAAGTTCGATTGGCAATGACAAAGAGGGCGGGGCGCGTATCAAATGTTCAACAATCGAAAAAAATTATTATTTAAAATTAATGCAACCACACTGAAGTCAATAATATTATATAAAAAATTTCTAGGCAAAAAAACTATTTGTTAATTGTAAAGAGATTGGAGACCGTTCTAAACTTTATTCAATCATTGTGGTAGGAAAAAAAATCCAGTCGGTTTTTGGGAGATGTTCTCAAGCGCAACCAAACATATCTAGCTTTATTCGAAAGTTAAACTCAAGGAGATTCAAGAGAGGAAAACAGTTTTTAGATTCATCCCGTTTTAAAGCTTTTATAAGGCTTTTGAAGAAAGTTTCCACTCTCTCCCAAAAAACGGACTGGACTTTCCTTCCATATCAAATATTGCCTTTTTTGGGCAGCTTGATCAAAAAGAACTAGCGAAAAATCGATTTGAGTCTTTACTTTGATCTTTTTTTGCGAAATTTTAATAAGAGAAGAGAATAAGAGAAAAAAAAGTGATAAGAGCCGCCGCTTTCGACTTGTTCTCACAAATGCAATAATTTCCAAAAGTCTCTTTCTATTTTCTCATTGTTGTTTCAATGGAGGCATTTTCCTCTTTTGAAATCGGTTTCGGCGGTTTTGGAAGAGTGTTTTTGTTGACGCATGGCAACGCGTGAGTCCTTAGAAACGGTACCGACTTTTTAGTCTTTAGAAAGCTGGTGATGAAAGAAATTCATCACGGCTTCCCTGCAAAGGAATTGGAAATTCTGAAAGAATTGGTGCATCCGAATATCGTCAAATATCGCGATCAACCCACCGATTACGAGTATCAAGGCGGCCATTTTCCAATATTTATGGAGTTTTGCGAAGAGGGATCACTGAGAAAAGGTTGTCTCTTTTTGTGTAATCAAATGGAAAGCTAAACGTTTGGGTGTCAAATTTTCAACTCTTCTTGAGGACTTTCAAAATTTTCTTCTGACTTCAATCGACAAAAAGCTGATCGATTTTTCTTTTGTCAAACTAACAAGGGAAGTGGTAGAGTGCTTGCGTACAAGTCAAATGCTCGTAGATTCGAATCCTCTTACTTTCTTTTTTTTACACATCAGCTGGTGTTTGAAAAGGAACAAAACAATGTACTGAATCCACGCGTATTGAAGAAGTGATTTAAAAGAAGGAGCTTCCATTGAACTGAACATGAACATGAACTGAACTGAACATGAACAACTGATATGATGTTAATCAATCCCGGAATGAATGGAGAAATCAATCCCGGAATGAATGGAGAAATCAATCTCGTGAATCAAAAAAGCAAGTAAAAGTCCTTTTGATCAACTGCTTAATAGGCCTAAAGTAATAAACATCCATCGCCTGGAGGAATGTTTTCTACTGTGATCGTATGTCCTGGAGGAACAGCTTGACGAATGGAGTCATGGTCTTTCAACGAGGTCCAGGAGTCAAGAATCAAAGTATGTCTGTTAGGTGTTCCACCGTCACAAGTAATTTCCCGAATGTATTTTGCAACATGTTTCTTCAGCGTGATTGGCGACTTTCCACAACAAGATTTTGTGTTGTAAAGTGAAGTTTCCATCTGAATCACGATTAAAGCTTTTTTTCAGGAGCGTCCCATCTCATACTGTTGGCATGTAGGTTATCAAATGAGTGAGAGAATTCTGGTTTTGGACAAGGCGCTTCACCGTCTTGACACCTCGAAAAGCTAATAATCTAGTTCCCTGCAACTCTCGGCTGATTCCCGTTTGATCAAATTTCGCAAACAATGCTGGACTTGTGCGCTTTATATTGTCGTGAATTCGTTAAACAAAAGTATCGGGATCGGCCTGTAGTTTTCCTTGATCGCGAAGACTTCGTTTGGACACAAACTTTGTAATCCTTCTGGAACAGAAACCTATGCTTTTCCTAACTTTGGATTCAACCATGACTCGCTTGAAAATCTTTGAGTGGATCGTTGAGAGACCGGTTAATTCTAATAGCCATTTGCCTTATTTCAACATTGCGAAGCAAAATTCGATCTGTAAGTTTTTTCCTACTTCTTTCTCTAGAATACCCTTAATTTTCATCAATTTCTCAATTCGGGTTGCTTTTATTATTTGAGATTTTTCAGGGCTTTGAGCTTCAAAGCGCTCAAAGCCTTCTCGTAGACGATGAAGATGATGTGGAGTCCTCAACCTGCGAAACCTGCGAAGTACTCGATATAGTTCTGATTCTTTTGTGACAATCTGCTGAAAAGGCGAAGCCGTAATTCTTGCATAGCCTGTATACCAAAAAGTTTTTGCCAGATACCTCGCGATTCCACGTCATTTTGCAAAAACTTATAGTGTCAGAATCAGCGAGAAATTTCTAGGTCTAGGTCTCATTTTCCATCTCCACATCACCGTCGTGATCTTCTCTTATAAAACATAGGTTTAGTAATCAATGATCCGAACCTCTACTACACAGTGGCTACCGTTCTTCAATGGGCAAAAGAAATGTTTACGGCCTTGGTTTATTTAGAAGATCGGAAGGTCATTCATCAAGATATAAAACCGGAAAAGTTCAGTTTCGATTTGGAATTGATTTTATTGATTTTAAGTATTTTTGTCAACAAAGAGTTCGCATTGAAAATTGGTGATTTCGGCATAATGCGACGACTCGATTTAAAAGATGATGGTGTTGATGGCGGAACTTGGCCATACAAGCCACCGGAAAAATGTCAAGCTGACTACGAGGTACACTTTTAGAATAAAGTCTATACTTTCCTTTTATTTCTTTTAGCTTTCCCATCAAATCGATGTCTTTGCTGCAGGATTGGTGCTCTGGGAGGTGATCGAGAGACGGTTTAGTTGACAAGCAATGAGCAAAAAGAAAAAAAAACATTCCAGAAAATTGACGGCGGCCTTAGTCCCGATTAGTTTCACGAAAAATTCCCTTGAACTTGCAGAATTGCACGGTTTGGTCAAAAGGTAAATTTGAGAAATCAACTTTTACCTTACAATTTAGCTGTTCCGATCGATCAACACCCTTGTATTTGCGCTTCAATTCGGGCTCGCAGGCTCTCGAAGTGGTGGAATCACTACAAAAAAAAGAGGTAAAATCATTTTTGACTTTTTCGCTCGCCCGGGGGTAATCGAGGTTGCTGAACATGAATTTGGCATTTTAAAAGAAGGTTTTCAATCAACAAACCCAACTTTCGAAAAGTTGAAAACTAAGCTAAGAAGCTTTTGCGCTTTAAATGCAAATTTAAATGCGATACACCTTCCTGTCTTTGTTTTGGTGGGAAGGGCAGGTTCAAGCTTTGTGAAGGAGTCCGATATCCATCAGCCATTCTTCAAACTGGCTGTCTGAAGGGAGGAGCTTTGCACTAAACTCCAGCAGAGTCATGTCCCTCAAGGCGTTGATTCCAACTCTTGCAGCCATTGTAATTTTTGTCGGATTAACGATGTTTTTCTCTTTTTAGCCTTGCTTATAAAGCTCTTTTTTTATCTTTTTAGCCCTGCTTTTTAGGCTTTGTGGGCGTGGTTTTAAGTTAACAGGTCTTAACTTGTTAATGAGGGCTAAATTTATATATTTAAATATTTAAAGCAATATTTAAAGCGAAATCTCCATCAAATTTACGTGTGAAAGACACAAATTTGCCTTTAAAGCGCGCAAAAAAACGCTGATTACCCCCGGGGAAGTGAAAAGAATCAAAAATATAGGTGGCCTTCAACTCACAAAGTACGGAAGTTTTTATAGAGAAATGTTTTGGCTACAAAACAGAAAAGAGCTTAAGAATCGGTTGAGTTTCCATCGAAATATTCACTTTGGAATTCGGGCAAAATTAAAACAAAACTTTCCGATCACTTGTTTCCGATCAATGTAAATGTACTTGTACTGCACTTTTTACGAAGTTGAACTCATCCTAGAAATTCTCTCGATTGCAAGTAAAGCCAGAAAGGAGGTTTGAGGAGCGAAAGTTAAAGCAATTAACGAAAGATGATATTCATTTTGACGACGACGACGATGATCTTCATATTTCAACCATCTCACTTTCCGCTTTACAAGAGACTCCAAGACAAAAGGTTTTTGATCAGAAGATGTTCAAAGTTAATCAAAAATTCCCTTGATTTCAGGATGTGAGAAGCTTGAGTACACATCTTGAAGAACATGAAGAATCGGTAACGATCGACAAAAGCGAAACCGATTTGCTCATCCCACCGCTTTCCTCAACACTTTGGGACTTTCATTATCGAGAACAGTCTCAAGAGAAGATGCCGAAAGAAAAAGTTTGTTAAAAGTTTCATCAATCTGGAACAAATAGTTTCTTTTCAGGAAATCAGCTACGAGATCGCGCCTTCAAATAACCAAACAAGAATGACATCAATAGAATCTTCATTTCACCTCTCAGAGCTTGCTTTTACATCTTTACAAATTTCGAAAGAATCCAGAATTCAAGAGTCCATTATTGGCTTTCAAATGATGAGCAAAATCGATCGATAGACTCACTTTGATCGAATCAGAGTTAAGGCAAATGCCTGTGATTTTGGAGATTTTGATCACATCGAGATCGGCAACTTTCACTCTGATTTTCTTCATGTAAATGAAGTCCGAAGGAAAATAGCTAAACGTTTCTTAAAGGCTATTCGACAAATGACTACTGAACAACAAAAGCTTATCAGAAAAGAAATGGAAGATTTTATTGGTTTTGTTTCATTGATTGAACCCGATGAAACGTTCCGACATGGAAATCCTAAATGGGGTGAAAAATACTTCCGAGAGCATGGAGCTTCAACAAAGAAAGTGAAAAAAGTAGCGAAAATTTTCTTCACACTAATCACTTTTGATTTCTTTTTGCAGTATTATTGCTACAATTTTGCGATGAAGGTTTTGAATTTGTGTAATTGCTTGATTTTGACATGGCAGGAGCTAACGAATTTACTAGAGATTGCCATTGGAAATATCGAACAGTTGCATTACATTTTCACCCAGAGAATGCGATTCCCCGTTTTCTTTGGGAATGGCTCAAGAGACGAGTGGTGTCAAGGGTTTCGTCTCATTTTTCGAAAAGATCTTAGTGAAATTCGACCAGGATCAGGTAGTTCGGAAAGGAAAAGTACCGAGCATGTCATCGATATCGAGGACATTCGAAGAGCTCTCTACGAAAAGAAAGAAGCTGTTCGAAGATTTGCTTTAACAGAAACTCCAAAAACCCCGAACTTTATAGAGCTATTGACGCATTTCTCGAATCCGACTGACTTTGAAGCACATTTACCCTCTATTGAAGGGAATTTTCATTCTAAAATGAGTGAGGGAATTCGAGAATTTACAAGAAAAACTCTCGAACACGAGAAGAAAACGCCCTTCACTGGATACATCTTCTTTATCAACTCGTTGCCGGGTTGTAGACTGAATTTCGAGCTATGGGATGAGGAATTCGGAAGCGGCCACTATTCGGAGTTTTGTCGTTGTGATCGTGTGAGCGCATTGGAAATGCTCGATGTGCACACACTTTTCGAGAGATCATTCCGTTTGTTGCACTTTTGGGATAATCAGCTCGCACATCTCGACACTCACTTGTACCTAATCAATCAACTCCTACAAGATCTTGACACCAAAAGAGACCCATCGATCGGCTTCTTTTTTGTGCTAGTCGATGAGGAACCAGAAGAAGATGACGACGCTTACCTCCTTTTCCCTTATCGTCAATTTTTCTCTTGCCATGCTGAAAACGAAGAAGAAATTCGAAGATCCGGACTGTTTATGGGTCTCTTGCCACCAAAGGAGAACTCGTTTTTCACGGAAGACTTTCATTTGGAATCAATCTCGGTGTGTTGTCGGGTAACTTGCCGCGGTTTAGTGTACATTGCACTGAATGATCTACGAGAGTTTATTGAACCAATGGCTAAAAGTATGAGATGTTGGAATGAAGGTACAAGTTAATTTTCTTGAAATTCATCAAAACCTTTACCGTATTTCTTCGAATATGTATGAAACCAGAATCTATAACAAAATAACTTCGAAAAAGGAAACAAGAAAGGAATAAATCACGTAAATTTTAGGTTATATAATTATCCTTCATCACTACTTGATTCGTAGTCGTTCTCAAGTAAACCCAAATCACCTAGAACACCTTTAAACGCTTCCAAGCTCCAAATCGAATCGTTTACGCTCTCATAACCATTGTTTTTATCCTCATCAGAACTTCATACAAGAGTTTTGCTAGTTTCCCCTCCAATAGCGCGATATTCAGCTTTCAACGAGCATTTTCAACTTTTCAACAATTTCTCTTTTGAAAAATGAACGGCTTCGAGTTTGAATGCTGATGCTTCATTTAACTTTTGCTTCCAGGACTGTTGAATTAACGCAATAAAATATGAAAAACCAGAAAAAAAAACATAGAACCGAATAAAACTACGCTTTTGAGCTTACTTTTCTGATTTCGGATCCGGTAATTTGAGCGCAAAATAGAAAATAAGTGATATCTCGAATAAGACTGGTTTTATATTCAAGCCGGGTTTTCTAAAAAGAAGAAATACGATATTTATAGCAAAATTTAGGATGGCCACATCCCATTGAGGAAGACGAGGAACGTGAAAGAAATTGGATGAAACGAAAGATTGCGAATTTTTGGATTAAATTGAAGAAAGAACTCATCCCAATAAAACCCTATCAAATGTCAGTTTTCCAAGAAGATTCTCCTTTTCGACCATTCTTTAAACCTGTGGAAAAAAAGCGCCAAATAAACGAAAGCACCGAGTGCTTGGAGTTGCTTTTTGGAAATGGATGATACCCTTAACTGTTTACTGCTTTTTTTTAGTGACCTCGTAAATGTTCTGCCAGAATTTTGTCTCTTTTTTCTTCTAACGCTAATTTTACCTAGTAATTCTTGATTTTGTGGCAATGAAAAACAAAAGATTCGTGCTATTTGATGAAACAAATTGATGTACTTGACAAGATGAGATCTTTTTGAATTTTTCACCTTCAAGAATATGTGATAATGTTTGGTGTATAATAAAAGAGCGAAAATCGCTCTGCACTGCACAAATCTCGGTACCTTTGCGTGCCTTTCCAAAAAGTCAGCATATCTTTTTTTGTATAACTTTACAAAAAACCAAAGTAGGCACCACTTTACTACTCGTTTTCACTAATGTCGAGCATAAGATTGATGTATTCGATTGATGTCAGCGTGTCCATTACGAATCCCATTTCGCCAAAGTCCCATTTCCCGTTGGGTGAATCCTATCGAGTTGCCAAAGCCGGATTACTTCGGTTCCTCGAGGGCGCAAGATCACTTGTATACGACTTGATCGCTGGTCAAGATGTTGTACTCAGTAGAGCAATGATGAACCAATATAACAAAAAGTGAAGCGCACACATTTTTAGACATCGTTGCCCTTCAATGTTGAGTGATTAAACTGATAAAAAGACCAAGACCAGGACCTCACTGAAAAAGCTCCGACTTGGGGGTTTTCGAAAAGCATTTTCGGAGATTTTTAAAAGTTTAATTCACGCATCATCATATTTAATTTTAAGGTGGATAGTGAACTGATAAGATAGACACTAAAAAATAGCTCAAAGCGCTTTAGAGCGCTTTTTGTGAATTCGAAAATCTCATAAAATGGCTTGTCGGAGGGGCGAACTTTGAGACGTCCCAAAGCTAAGCCAATTTAGTTTTCAGCAAAAACCAAAAAATCCACCATAGAAAAACTTCCCAATTTTTATTTATTGGGTTGGGGAGAATGAGTCGGCGCCAAACTTTAAAGGGACTTTTTGCACACATAAAGCCTTCTTTAAACATACGTTTGGTTTCATCAAAAGGATCCACTATTTCTCTACAAAATCACTTTTGAGAGATTCCACAAAGCTTTTCTTTCGTGGAGTTTATGAACTTCCAAACGCAGCTGGTTAAAATGGCAAAGAGTCCGACTCATCATTTGAACAGTTTCTTTCACATAAACCTTCTTTGGTGTTTATATAAAAAAGATAGAGCACATTCAATTACTTAAGTTGCCAAATTTGCAGGAAGATCCCAATAATGGTTTTTTCTAGATCACAGTTTGTAGCTTTTGTGAAAAAATGGCTTTTTCTTGAGCGGAGGCGCTGTTTGAATTTTCTTTTAAATGTGATTTTGTAGAGAATTAGTTAACCATTCTACTCATATCAAAAAGACCAATACCAATAAAAAAGAGTTTGTGAGATTTTTTTCCATCAAAAAATTGCCGAGATATTTACAAAAAAGCGTATTACCATAATTATGCCTCATCCTGTATAAGCCAATAAATTTTCTATTCCGACTATTTTTATCTAATTTTGGATCTAATAACTGGTCCTGCAGAGATTTCGAATTCTTTAGGTGATGGCTTTGAGCCTCTTCACTGCTCCGTTTGTCATTTACTTCTCAGCCACGAATAACCAATTGACTTTACCAATCAGGTGACTTTAAAAAGGGATATAATTGTAGAAAAGAAGAAAAAGAACAATATCACTAGCCAAAAGACATTGTTACAGGTTGTTAGCTATGGTTGAGAACGTGACCAAGCCTATCTTTGCTATCAGCTATGCTCTGCTAAACTATTGATATGTAGCCTCTGACAATCTCCCGGAACCATTTCAATGTTCCTATGATTTGGGAAATATCTGCTTCTCCATCGCATACTATCCTACAGTCGAGTACAATTTCATCGAGTTTAGTCAATACTGGCAATTGGTTATCTCGGTTTCCCGTTTCTTTGCCGTCTCTTTCGATGGAGTCTACTTCCGACACACTACAAAATGGCCATTCGGTCAATTATTGCTTCCGTTCGTTTTAAGAATTTTATTGGACAGAATCAGGCTACTTTTTACGAATAATGTTTATATTAATCAACCGATTTTTGACTTTTATATCTAAACATTTCCTGGGTTTCTCCAGTGAGCCCTAGACTTTGAGACAAGACAGAAAATGATAGGTAGAGCACTACTAAAAGGACGGGACTGTAAGTATATAGCGGTTCTATTACACTTACAATACCAATCCTGTAGTCTAATAAAAAGTTGACTAACTATGTGTTCTTTTCAGATGAAAAACGATGATACCGCTTCGGTTTAATTGCCCAGTTCTTTTTCAAAAACGTTGTTTACACTATTCGTTCTTTATAAAACCAAAAAAAAGATAGAAAAAAGATTTTCTAAGAGAAAATTGTTTACAAAAACATATTAGAAAAAAATTTTTAAAAAAATTGAAATCAAGTTCAAATTCATTTTTTCTCAACTCATGCAAACACTTTTTGAAATAGAGTTCAAAAGTGGCCACTTCAGAGCCCCAATATGCAAAATTTCAAGAGATATCAAATGACATTGAGCCAATTTCCTCTAGCTTTAGTCAGCCAAATTTCTTTTTTAAATAATCAATTTCTGTGATGAGTGGCACGAATTATTTGTTGTTTTATCTGATCATCTTTGGACTAATCATTCAAGAGGTGCTTTTTAACAAAAAAACCCTATTGATTTTGGATAAATCAAAAAATCAAATCGTTTAGTGTGAGTGTCGTCTGGCTCCTTCAAATCTTGTCATACCGAGTATTAAAGGGAAAATAAATGATCCGAATCAGAGTGCCGAACATTCATTCGGTGGCATCGTTTTATTTGTATTTATCGGAACACTTTTCCAAGCATAAACTCTTTTGAGCTTTTTGTTGTGTGCAAAATTTTAATAATAGACGTGTCTACTTCTTACGGTATTAAAAGTTCAAAAAAACTTTTAATACCGTATTGGGCTTCTTACTCTGGCTGAAATGTCTTCAAACACAGATCAAGGGTAAGATTAAGAACTTGCAGGGAAATTCAGTGAAATGCCTCTAGAAAGCTTGATATTATAAGAGGTTTATTCGAAGAAACACAGCTTTTGGGATTTAAATAAAATCCACTCTTTCACTTCAGATGTGAATTCGCTAGTTCAGATGCAGATTTGCTAGTTTTGTGGCTGAATATCTTAAGATCACATTCAGCTGAATATCTTTTTGATGAAGATCAAAAGATATTCAGCTGAAAAAGCCGACGAAATGGAGTGGAAGTCAATTCCAAGCCCACCGAATCGGCTGTGATGATTCGAGATCTTTCGGCTTTCTATTGACAAGGTATGCCATGTAGGAAATGCTGAAAATAGGGTAAATAAAATGTTTTTCATTATGTATACCTATTTAGTAAATTGGCCAACTGCCACAAAGTGGTGTAGATGATGAAATTGGCGATTGTTGACGCCAACGTGACGAAATGTTAGGCGACGGCGATGGAAACGGTGAGGATCACGTAGTAGCAGTTATTTGTAGTAGCAGTTATCTTCAACGATCAGCCATTGAGATCTTTTATTGCAAGAATAGAATGCAAGAATTTTCTTCATTTTATTGGGGTTTAGAAAAAGGTTCTTTTTTAAAGCCTTTTTCCAAGAAAACAGTCAGACAGTTCATTTTTGTGTTGCAACAAAACGCACAAGACAAGAAAAAACGCCTTTCTTTTCATTTTTTTATCAATCAATCGAATGAAGATCAGTGTTTCCAGGGCTATTTTCCACGAAAAAGCGACCAAAATGACCTCTGGAATTTCCACTTTCAAATCGCTGAATTGCCCGCTTTGTGCAACTCCGTGTAAGTTTCACAAAAATAGTCCTAACCAGTTATTTTCTCATTTTCAGATTCAAAAACAGCAAACAGTGATCGTGCACCGACACAAAGTTGGTGTCTTGACATTCAATCGGTCTGCATGAAATGCTACAAAGAGCAAAAAGCGATTGAACAAACGAAACGAGCACATCAATGCAAAGATATCAATTGCTTTGGTTATTGCCCGAATCCGTCTTACTATTTATTGGGTGAGTTCTTAGCCATTTTACCGCTCATAACTTCCAACTACTTCAGAATTTCTCTCAAATGGCTGCTTTGTTCTCGATAATGCGAAAAATGGCTATGTGTTAGTGTCTGAATCAATCACGATTCCTGAATGTCCGATTTGCCATGAAGAGTGTAAGTCTAATTCCGAGAGATTCAATAAATGAGTTGTTAGATTTCTTGTCAAATGTCAATAAGAGCACAACGGAAAACTCGTCTTGACCCCATTTAAAGTGAACTTTTAGAAGAGTTCGGTTTATCTAATGGGTAAAGCTTGAAAAATTTTTCCGTTGTACTCTTATTGACATTGAGACCGAAAATGAAAAGACATTGTTCTTAGATTCAATCGCAAATTCTCAACGCGAGCCGTTTGCGCTTTATTGTGGGCATGCCCTGTGCAATGGTTGTTTCAACCGATTGAGAAAACTGAACACAGCGCAAGCCTTCAAACATAAACTAGAGTGTCCACTATGTCAGAAATGCTATTATTATGACAAAACATCGTGGGAAGATCCATTGAAAAGTTTGTTTTCAAAAAAACACTGATCAAAATATCGTAATTATTCCAATAGAAGCATCTGTGCTTCTATTTCTCAACACCCCGCTGAGTTGTCCTTCGATTTTTCAACTCTTATCAGAAACTCCAGAAATAAATTTAAACATTTCACAAATTTTCAAAATAGTTTTCGCAAGCGACTACTGTTCACAAAAGTAATTGTTTTTAAGAATTCAGTAGGAATCCGAGAAGAAAGTTTGTGCCGTTTCATAAACTTTTGTAGCCACCCTTCACTAGCCTTGACATTGTTGTTTGATTCCTCGATCGATCGACACTGATCCCAACTTCAATGCCTCTTTTCGAATCGTCTGTCTTGAGATTTTCAGTTTTGCATTTCTCTGCTCACGAATCCATTTGAGTAATTCATCTTGTAATTTTGAGTAATTCAACTGATATTAAATGCCTTTTGGGGGCTAGAGTAGTTTGAAACTTGACCCAAAATCAATATTTTTCCACGAAAACTTACACACAGGGGTTTTTCGACTATGCTGAATCGATTAGTAATACTTTTATAACTTTTATATTAATAAACTAGTGCTTTAGTAAAAACTCGAATACGGGCAATTTGTCCGAAAAACAGGTCCTCTAACCTGTCAGGGGGTTCTTTTATACGCAACAGTTTTGTCATTGTATTCAAGTTTTTACTAAAAATGTTATTAATTAATAAAATTCATTAAAAAAAAGTTATAAAAGTATTACTAATCGATTCAGCATAGTCAAAAACCCCTGTGTGTAAGTTTTCGTGGAAAAATATTGATTTTGGGTCAAGTTTCAAACTGCCCTCCCCAAATAGTCTGTCGAATTTCATTTTTCTAAATAATCAATTTCAGAATCAGAGTGCCGATCTCTCATTCGGTGGCATCGTTTTGTTTATGTTTATCGGAACACTTTTTCAAGCATAAACTCGCCTTCCGGCTCCTTTCTAACGCTTGGATTCACTAGATTGTTGCTGCTCAATTTGTTCTTTTGCTGAACCCATCACACAATCATAGCTCGATTGACACCAAACTTCTCGCTGGCAGCCTTGTTTCGAATTTTCTTAGCGTATTCAACAGCTTCTAATTTTAAACTAACTTCTCGTATAAGCCTTTCGTTTTCGTGAAGCTCCAAGTGGCTTATCTTCGTTTTCATTCAAAACGGCATAGCCATGGGCATCATGTCTATCTTGGTTCCCAGCTCCGTCTACCATATTTGCATCACTGCAGCTTTCGTTATCCTTTTGCAAACGATCGAATTTTCGCGCAACTTTGCGTCCTGCTTCATACCATCCGTCGAGTTCGTTTTTCCGGCGCAAGCAAAATTCCTCGAGGTCGTCAAAGCTTGGACGTTGTTGAGCTGGTGACATCTGCCTAAAAATAAAAAACTATTTAATGAAAACGAATAAAGTAATAAAAAGAACGTAAAAATTAAAGAAGCTGTTTGACCAATGATTTTTGGATATTTTCAGAACAATTTTAAGTTAGCTGGTGTATGGTAGTTTTGGCGCAAAATAGCAAAAAGTGATGCTTCTATTGGAGACTGTGCTTCTATTTTTCAATACCCCTCTGGGGTGTGCTTCTATTGGAATAATTACGGTACTTGACTAGGATTCCTTCACGAACTACCGCTGAAACAAACCGAATCAAGGCGACCGTGTGCTGATTGCGAAAAGAAGGTTTCACGTTAAATTTATCGCATAACAAAATTTTAGTACTCTTTCTTCAATATGTTTAAATGCACTGATTGCAACAACAAAATGGTAGTAAAGTTTTTGCTTTTGAGAAATCCAATTAAAACAGTTGTGCTCGTTGTGTGTCTGCAAGAAGCATCATCACCATCAAATTGTCGATTTGGAAACGGAAGAGGTTTGTGATTATGAGAGAATTTCGCAAAATAAACTTCAGACAAGTGTGAAAATTGCAAATTTTTCTACTACATCTAGGTGAAATATTTGACGAGTGAAACCCTCGAAGCAATCACTCCACAAATTAACGCTTACGACGTTTGTTTCCCGGAACTGCAATCAGATTTAGTCGGAAACATGGCCGCCTTCAAACAGGTAGTGATTTTCATAGATAAGAAAAAACACAAATAACAGGGAATGATGGGTCAAATCAATCAACTTAGCAAACTAAATTATGCACCGGCAAAACAAGAAGGGCAAAATTGCATGTAAGTTGGGAGAGACGTTGAACGTTGAGTTTTCGAATGAATAACCCAGCATTGAAGAATGATTTTCCAAATGTTGAATGCACCAAATGGAGTACGGTTTGCACCATTGGAAAGATCTGAATTTTCTCTGCAAAATGTTTGTTGACAATTTAGAAAAGCTTTCGTTTTGCGGGTTTTTCGGGAGCGCAAAGGCGAGTAGGCAAAATTGAACGGAGCGAAGGCAAGAATCGACGGTTGGCAACTTTTTTTTGATGGGAACTGACACTAACTTTCTATGCCAACTAGGAGCTTTATTACACCCAAAAAATGCTGTAAAGTCGGCGCTTTTCTGTTTTTGTCATTTTTGACAACTTTTCTTTGCACTTCCGAAAATGTTCAAAAACAAAAGCTTTTCAAAATCTTTCAAAAGCAATTATCTTGCAAAAAAGATATATCTTTCAAATGAAACAAACTAGATCTCATTTAGTTCAGCCATCATTTTTAAAACCCACTTTTTCCAAAGAGTCCGGTTATTTAGTTTACAGGCTAATATTATCTAAGCCATATTAATTGCTACTTTTTATATAGCTTCTCAAAAGCACTTTAGGCTATCAAATGATACCTTAAAGTGCTCGATGGATCAATTAAACTCTGAAAAATTGGTCTCATCACTGGGTTTTGTGCCCAAGCCCTCTTTTAGGCATCATTGAAATTTGATCTTTTTTTTTAAAGTATAGACGTAGCAAGAAATATGACCTTAAATAAGTTACAATTTTTTAAAACTACTCGTTCGATATGCTCGATAATTCAATAAATTTTTAAAATCAAATTTTTGTTTAGCAAAACGAAGATGAAGACATTCAAACATCAATTTTCACTTTTTTAAATGTACAACTTTTTGATGGTGTTTTTTTTTCTTAAAAATTCTTTTCTGATAAACGTTTCCTTTCAGAGCTATTGGTGATCAATTCGAGGAGATCTGCGAGAAATATTTGAGTGAGCTGAGATTGTGCAACACAGGGATTAAGGTGTATAAGATTTTGCACTAGTAAAAAGAACTTAACAAACTTTTAGAAGCTCATCAACGAGTTCAGCGGCTCTTCTTAATAGAAAATTCGCGCATTTTCTTTGTTGTGATTATGATTTATGATTTATGATTAAATAGCGAGCAATTTTTCTTTAAAAATTTAATTTTCAGTGGGGTTTCAGCACAAATAACTTCCTATTAGAGCCCTTAAAAGAACTAAAAAGACAATTGTTAAGGTGCATTTTTTCGGTTGATTCATCAAAATTCAAACACAAATCGAGAAAATCTGATAGATAAATTGAAATCGTTTTTGCCGGGCAAAGAGCTCACCCGACCACGTCGACCCGATCGACGAGAGGTTTTTGATAGAAGAAATTCTTGCGCCTCTGATCTCGGATGTTCAAAAGTAGGGGCTGATTGTGGATCTTCATCTTCTCCAAGTCATTACTCAAACCCCACAACTTCTCCACCAATACAGCTCCTTTCTGTGATCCTCCACCGATTCACTTCAGTCAATTTATCGGCTTGAATAAGCTAACTGACATTGTGATCAGTAATCTAGGTGTTGGTATTTATTTCTCCACAAACAAAAGCGATTAAACACATCATTTGCCATCAATACAAAAAATAGAAAGAAACAGAGCAGTTTCATGAAAAAATCGTGCATTCAGTCGGTTTAGTTTTTAGAAAAGTTTTTCAGTTCAGTTTTTTCTCGACGTTTTTCATGGTCTTTTATCGGTGCAATTCCCGGAAGAGCCTAACAACTTTCAAATAACCTTCAAATGATAAATAACTCTTCAGGGCAACTAGATTCTTCCAAAGTTAAAAAATCGCAACGTGTTTTTGATATAAACGTTGACATTGAACAATGGTCATATTAGTACGAGTTTTTATGGTCGTTTTGTAAAGTTCAGAGTAAGAACAAGATTTTATTGTTCTCAAAACTCATCAAAAGTTTTGCAAGGGAGTTTTCGAGTGAAAAAAGAAGAAATAAAAGATTGTACAGATGTAAAGCAAGGGAAAGAGCGTCATTCGGGTGGATTTCATTGCTGATTTCGTTGCAAAATAAAAATCCCCAGTTTCCAAAATGCCCAAAATAGAAACTATTCGTTGACTTTTCTTTCTTATTTTTATTCCAATTCGAATTAGCGATGTTCAGCTACAAGTCTAGAGGTAATTTTACATTAAAGTTGACGAATGGGTTAAAATTTTTATCGCCAGTGAATTGGGGTTCACAAAAAGCATGCGTTTTCAAATTTACAAGCTCAACCTTTCAGATCCTCCAAAATGCCATTGGAACTGTCGAAGGCTTCCTCTCAACTCTCTCCCAGCACAGCTGAAAGAAATGCTCGTCGAGAAGCTGCCAATAAGTTCATGCACATTGTTGATGAAAGTGAACAAGAGATTGAGAAGATTTCTCATTCAATGTGACCTCTTTCGGAAACGGAAAATCCAGAAGATCCGTCTTACCTCGTATCGATCGAACACCATTTTTGTGGAGATCCGGGACGACGACTCTCTGGCCAATCAAATCGCTATCTTCTACAACTTCAACAATCAATTCGTCGAGGTCGAAGGGGCAAAGGTTTGTAGATCGGAAAATGGCGTCTGTGTCCCAAAAAACCCACTCCCAAACCTGCTCAAATCGATCAAGTATTGCGAGTGTCTATCGGTCGACGAATGGCTGCAGCACTCGATTCTCCCGCTACATATTGCTTTCGCTAAGGTCTTCGAATTCACTCCGCAGGGATCTCTCTCAGTTTCTCTCAGACGTCATCAATCCATCATTACAACAATGAAGTCTCTGTGGCTTTGGTTTAGCTCTTGTGATCATTTCAAGAAAGCCATCCGAGAGATCTTCGCGAAAGAGGAGAATGGCACCGAGGCGCTGCTCTCGACGGCGATTCCCCCACCAGACTGCTCAGGTCATGTGTCCTATTCGAGCGATAGTTGTACATGGGATATTCTAAGAGGAAATGATGAGATTGCAAGAGTCGATGAGGAAGATCGACGAAACGGGATACTCGACGAGTACAATGAGCATCGGTGGATGAATAAGGAATGGCTAGAGAAAAAGAGTGACTTCATCTCAAGGGACATGCGCGAGTTGAGGTAGAGACAGTGTCAATACCTGAATGTATTTGAAAATGCCACGAGAGGATACGCGATAGTTCTGTGGGAGAGAAAGGGGAAGGCAAGGAAGAAAGGCTTTATCTCGTTTGTTTTTCCTTACGTTAGACAAGAGGTTCACCTATTTTTAGAGTTGCCTATGAAATGAAACGCTTTTATTACTGAAAATCACTTCGCATGCTCTTTTTTCTGCACTCTGGGCGATTTCTTGTACAAATTTTATAGAATAAAGTTTATTTCACAACTTGACTCGTTTCTACAAACGAAACATTGACTCCTTTATCAGAAAGAGTGAAAGAATCGTCAAAGTGATAAAAGGTAAAGTGGAAAAAGGTTTAGAGATGTGTTAGCTGAAATGGATAAATGATTTATTGATTGGCCATTCAGTAAAACAAAACGATTGATATCTTTGACTCGACTTCTTCTAAGCACCTCCCTCATTTTCGGTCCAAGCGAGTGCTCGACCTACAGTTCCATTTAACGACATTTAACGGCATTTCAAGAATTTCAAAGTAAATTAACATTTAACAAACCGGTCCCAAAACAGAGAAACACCAATCCGGCGATAATTTGCACAACAGCACTCAAAATGAACATCACAAGCCATTTGTTTTCGACTTCCTATTAAAACCATTCTCTTTTTTCGAGAATCAAAAGATATTCACCATTTTTTCGATTAACGACATAGCCATCGGACCGGCCAGATTACCCAATGTGGCAAATATGACACCTAAAAGATTACAGATAAAGTAATTGCTCTTTTTCTCGACTCACCGACAGAAGTGACAACGCCGGTGTGAGCTGGAGCGATCGTCAGCAACGTTGTGAAAAAGCCCGGGATTTGACAAGCGAGTGACATGCCTGAAAAATTTTTCTCCAAATACCACTCAAAACTTTGAATATAAAAAGTTGATTTTAAAAAGAAAGCCATTTATTGTTGAGATAAACTAATGAGCGAGAAGCAAAAAGGAGGCTATGGGAGTTTAGAGAGGGCACTCAAAATTTGCATAATTACATTAATTTGCATTTAACTTCTCTGTTGATTTAATATTTATTTTAACCACAAGAATTTTAACAACTTTTCTAACGTGTTTTTTTATATATTTATTTACCACTTTACTTACTTTTTTATTTAGTTATGGTGGGTGTCGCTACAGCAAATATATTACAGTTAAAAGCGGTTTATCTATTGAAAGAATGATTGAAAATTGTTGCAAAATCTGACGTTGACTTTAACGAGTGGCTAGAAGATTGCTATGGAAGGTAAGCAACTGTCTCAATTGTAACAGTTTAATGAAAAAAACGGAAAAATTGAGTCATTTATAGGTATGAAAGTGATAAGAGGAGTCGCGAGAAGAAAATAGAATGTTTAAAGATTTGGTAGTTAATTTTAACTAGTTAGTTTCATAATAGTTAGTTTTTAGAACCCTTTTGATTGTAGTCATGGTAATCGCGTGAAAATGAATAGGAAATTTAAATGCAAATTGATACGATTATGCAAATTTTGAGTGACCCCCTAAACTCCCATAGTACCGGAAAAATTTCTATAAACCTCGATACCATATAGAATCAAAAAAACCAGTGCGTAGTGCGGGTGGGCACACGTCGGAACGATGACAAGCAGTAGACCTGCAATCGCCGAACCAAAGCAGCCTTAAAGGGAAAGTTTTGCTAAAGTTTTGAACTGACCAAAAACCCACTGATGCTTTGAAACAATTTCACGACGGTGCTCACGTCGAGGGTTCCGTTTGCGCGCAAACGATCAGCCAATGGACTGACGAGATTTTTGAAGGCAAGTTGAGAGATAAATGGAACGGCTGTGTAGAGGCCCACCTAGTCGTTTCTTGATTTTATTCCCGATTTTATCAAGCCAACACGAAACTTTGAGAAAAACCCACTCTTTTGGTGTCTCTTTTGAAAACTCTAACGTTAATGAGTCCTCTTGGAGAAAGAAACTGGCTATTTGATCTTGTTAAACCAACTTGATGCATTGGCAAATAAAGAGATTCCTTCAAAAATGTTGGCAGAAACGATTGGAGAATGTTGGAGATGAAATTCCCGGCGAACCACGCGAAACTCGACGCGAAAATCGCATTTGACGTCAGAATTTTCTTCCACAGCTTTCTCTTCTTCGACTGAATCTCAAGAAATCCTCCATTGCACTCATTTCCCCACCTTTTTCACAATCGTTTTTACGTTGATCTCTAAATATTCTCGCTCGTTTTCACTGACAAAACGGCTTTCACGTGGAGAATCGTAAATGAAGATTTTACACACAATAAGCCAAATTGCACCAAAAGCGCCTAAAATAATGGGGTGATTGCTTGAATCAAAAAAACTCACAAAAGAAGTAAAAGATTGACGGCCATCCAAGAGATGAGAGACAAAAAAAGGAGGCGATGAGAGAGGAGACACCGGCGGCTAACTGAAAAAAAGTAAATACTATTTAAGGGGTTGGCTATGACAAGTTTTTGATTTTGGCATAGATGTAGCTCCCATACTGTCGTGTTGACGCTAACTTTAAACGCTCTTTTCGCTGTTTCAAGCTAGAAGTACTATAATAGTCAAAAAGTAGCTTTGAATCTCATTATTACACATTTGTATTCTTATATTTTCCTCTCTTTCTTTCTTGTCTTTCCTATTTCTTCTTGGGCAAAGAAGGTGCAGACAGCTCCGTGGTAGAACATCTACTCGGTAAGCATAAGGTCAAGGGTTCAATTCCCCTTCAGTTCCAAATTCTCTGCCATTCATTTCTTCACTTTATTACTATAATAAACCACAATAAGAAACAAAAGTCAACCAACCTGAGCCCCGGATGAATAAATGGCGGCAACTGTCGATTTTTCGTTTGCCGGGAACCAGCTACAGGCCAACGTGTTGAGTGATGGAAGGATGAAGGACTGTAAGTGTGAATTGTCGATTGAAATTTGTGCCACACCTCGGCCAGTCCAATCGTGACTCTCACGGTGAAAAATAGCCAATAGGACTCGACGACGATCGGAGAAAGCCCACTGCACACCATTGCCACCAGGGCACTCCCTGGAAACTCTTTGATAAACCTCCAAAACACCGATCTCACAAAGCATCATCAGTTTGGAGCCGAATCGATCGGACAAATAGCCGGCAAAGAGACTCATCAAAAGACCTCCGCAAAAAGTGCCCGTGAACAGGAATGATTGGGCCCAGAGCTCCATCTCAATATTACCCTAAAACCGAACAAAACAATGGCCATTTTGTTTACAAAACTGTTATTTCAAAAAAAGCATCTTTTTGATATTTGGCAAAACCTTAATTTTACCAATTTCTTAGCCAAAAGCTTAAAAGTACTTAGCTATTTTGATTCCGAAAATACGGTTAGAAAATGGTAATCAATGCTCTAATTCAACTTCAACCTGTTGATCGACTAAAGGAGATGTTTCTGGATCGAATCTTTGACAAGACGCTGCTTCTGAGCTCAAAGAGCGCCCTTGGCGAGTGACATTTTGGGATTTCACCTGTAAAACACCGCTCGTTTTAAGACTTTGACTCAAAAAAGCGCTTTTCTTCAAACATCAAATGCACTTGGATAAACTAAGCTAATTCGCTTTAAATTTTAAAAAAATCAAGATGCTTAGATAAGCTTTGACTTTGTTCTAAAACTTGGGCTAAATTATTTAAGCAAAAGGTTTGTTGAGATGCCCAAAGAAAAACGCTTTTTTTAGGATTGCGACACCAAAACATAGAACGACCACAAAGTTCTCGAAATTTTTGTTTTCTACTCTACCAGACCCCAGACCAAGGCAACCAACGGACTAATTTTAGCTTATTAGTTAGAAAAACAGTTACCACAGCTCTAAATTGTCTCTAAAATACTTTGTGGTCACCTCGAGAAATGATTTTCCTCACCATACACGGAACGGCGATACTCAAATCGGCTCTCATCGACAGCACTGCCCAATAGCCGAAAGTCATCGCAAAGGCGACAACGAGACGATGAGATTTTGGCGAGAACAATGACGAGCTCATTTTTGTTTCAATAACGTTTCAATGAATGACAATGACGAGCTCAGGTTAGTTAAATTAAGACAGCTCTAATCAATGACTCTGACTCTCCGATTTCTCTCACTTTTTTTCAAATTTGTTGGTTTCTTTAAAAAAACATCTGATTGATGTTAGGTCTATCAAATTTTCAAGGTCACAAACGGGTAAAATTACTGGGTGAAAATATCCAACAGCAAAAGATGAATGCAGCCTTTTTTCAACTATTACAATTCAAAAATTCCCAGTTTTTAACGCAAAAACACAGTTTTCAAAGCCCCAGAGAGGGGCCAATGCAAAACTCTGAACTGGCAGCTTCTATAAAACTATAAAAAAGTTGAGAGCACCAAGAACACGATGACTTTCTAATGTGTGTTCGGTTCGAATGAAAATTTATTTTGGGCAATAAAAAAATGATCAAGCTTTACTTTTTTTATCGTTACTATACCAATCATCGATAAACTTTCTTTGGAAATGAAAACGAGAAGCGTTTTTTGAGTTGTCACACAATCAGTATTCATTCTAAAAACACAAAAAATTGAAATAGCATTGAAGTTTTTTAAGATTTTCTTTTGAAAACATCGGTCCAAGTATCGGAATTTCCAAAATTGTTCTCAAAACGATTCAAAGGCGATTGGGAGAAATTTTTTTGATTGAAACTCTCCAAAACATTACATTAAAACGAAGTTGAGCTTCTGCAAATGAGAAAATTTTTCAAGGTCCTTTTGAAGCTTCCCGATTGGTGGAATGTTTTCTTTGATTTAGAGCAGTTGTGAATGCCGAATTACTTTAGACATGTTTCTTGAAAATCTCGCTGGATTAGATGATTCAGCGTTGCAAAGAATATACATGTCACCAAAGAAGAACGCGGTTAATGGCAAATCGAGAAAACTTTTGTTGAAGTCTCAAAAGTGAAGACCATTCAAAGATTGGCTACTATTGAAAGATTGAAATATTGAAATATTAGCTCGTGAAAAATTGGCTTTGATTTAGCTTTGGCTTTGTCCAAAAATCGAGCAGATTTCGGCAAAGTCAGTTTGTGCGTTCAAATGGGAAATGATAAAGCACAGGGATTCGTGTCGAGCTCGAGTTTATTGATGACGTGAATGTTCGGTAGAAAACCGGCGTTTTCAGTGAAACTTAGCAAAGGTTTCACGTCAAACGGGAACTCGAGAAAGAGATTCTTAGCTTGTCATAAGGTTTTGATAGTTTTGGCCAAAATACGAAGAAGCTTTTCCCAATAAATTGCATTTCTTCCTGGTTGCTCCAGATGAGATTCTCATAGAAACACGCGGAAATAGAAGAGATTCTCAATTGACTTAATTGACGCAATTGATTCAAGAACATTTTCTCACTGGAGCCTGAATTTAAACCATTCGGGTGCTGACTGATTCGCTATTTGTTTGCTATTTTAAAGGTGATCCCGAGCTCTCGCGATTTTCGATTTATCTTCAACAGTTGCAGCAATGAGCCGATAGAGATTAAGCCCAGAATTGAACTCTTCAACTCTTGGGGCCAATGCAAAACTCTGAACTGGCAGCTTCTATAAAACTATAAAAAAGTTGAGAGCACCAAGAACACGATGACTTTCTAATGTGTGTTCGGTTCGAATGAAAATTTATTTTGGGCAATAAAAAAATGATCAAGCTTTACTTTTTTTATCGTTACTATACCAATCATCGATAAACTTTCTTTGGAAATGAAAACGAGAAGCGTTTTTTGAGTTGTCACACAATCAGTATTCATCCTAAAAGCACAAAAAAATTGAAATAGCATTGAAGTTTTTTAAGATTTTCTTTTGAAAACATCGGTCCAAGTATCGGAATTTCCAAAATTGTTCTCAAAACGATTCAACGGCGATTGGGAGAAGTTTTACAAGAAGAAGAAGAGAAACATTACATTAAAACGATCGAGGTTGAGCTTTTGCAAATGAGAAAATTTTTCAAGGTCCTTTTGAAGCAAAGCTTCCCAATTGGTGGAATGTTTTCTTTAACTTAGAGCAGTTTTGAATGCCGAATTACCCCTTTCGACTTGTTTCTTAAAAATTTCGCTAGATCAAATGATTCAGCGCTGCATCGAATCCCTCCCCATACAAGTCACCAAAGAAAAAGAGCCGTAAATGGCAAATCGAGGAAACTTTTGTTGAAATCTCGAAAGTAGAGACCATTGAAATATTGCCTAATGTTGAAATATTGAAAGATTGGCTTTGCTTTGACTTTGTCGGTCGGAAAATCGGCACACGGATTTTGGCAGAGTCAATTTGTGCGTTTAAGTGGGAAACGATAAACTCGTAAAAGGCACAGTGATCCATATCAATCTCTAGTTTATTGATGACACGGATGTTCGGGAGAAATCCGGCATTTTCACTAGAACTTTGCAAAAGTTTTGCGTCAAACGGGAACTCGAGAAAGAGATTCTCAGCGTGTCACAAGTTCTTATCGTTTTGGCCAAAAGGCCAAAGAAACTCTTCCCAATAAATTGCATTTCTTCCTGGTTGATGCAGGCGAGATTCTCATAGAAACACGCGGAAATAAAAGAGATTCTCAATTGACTTAATTGACTCAATTGATTCAATTGCATCTTCTCACTGCAGCTTGAATTTAAACCATTCGGGTGCTGACTGATTCGCTATTTGTTTGCTATTTTAAAGGTGATCCCGAGCTCTCGCGATTTTCGATTTATCTTCAACAGTTGCAGCAATGAGCCGATAGAGATTAAGCCCAGAATTGAACTCTTCAACTCTTTCGGAAGCGTTTAAAAACGAAAATCCGTTCATTGAAAGAGCATTTTGTTTTCGGAGTCAGAAAGCTTCAAAAAATCAAGACGCTGTAGAAAACGAAAATTCTTTGTTAATCAATTTTTGTCATCTTTTTTGGTTTGCCTCTTATCACACTTTTTTTTGAATTGCGTCATTTTAAGATCTACAATCAATTCTGAGATCATTTTGTGAAAAATAGTCATAAAAGTTCTTGAAATTAGAGAATTTTGATTAAGGTAAAGCAGACGAAAGGTCAATAAACTGACGATGATTCTTGTAGACAGCTCGGACAAGTATTTCCCATAAATCTATTCATAAAGTACTTTTGAATAAGCTAGCATTTCTTTTCAAAATCTCGGAATCCAAACCACATTGACATCGACAGCCGGATCGGGTGCGTCGAGCTTTTGATCAACGAATAGCACAATGACGATCTCTCGTTGATCTCTCGTCTGAATGAAATAGTGGACCCGTGCTTCCGCCGTGTCCCTCTCGTTTAACCAAACTCGAACACCGGCATTTGAGACTAGTGTCTTTGCGTAGTATTTGAACGAGCTCTGGCGATGCAAGTAATGAAATTGAGCCAACTCCGAGGCTGATAATGCACCAATTTCCACTTGTTTTGTTCCAGGGTTTTTTACAATTAAATTTAAGAGCTTTTCATGCACACATTTCATTTCTCCACAGTCGGCCTCGCTAAGATAATTTCGAATCTGAGCGGTGACATTAGGATCTCGACTCGGGATTCCTTTTTGAAGGATCTCGTTGAGTGCCGTCTCGAGGAGCTCGAGCAGATCACAGTTAAACTCGAAGTGCCGAGCATTTGATTCAATATCGATCATCGTCCACGGGGTTTGCTCGTCGAGTAAAATCACTAGCACATAAGGGCAATCCCGATGTGATCGGCTCAATATCTCCGTCCAATACGTTTGAAAGACAAGAGTGTCGATGCGGGCAAACGGTAGCCGTACACTGATTTTCTCGATACTGCTCAAGTGCAAATGTGGAAGCAACACCTTGATCACTTCAGGCTCACCGTCAATGTGTAGACGTCGAATCTGGGCGAAAAGTGGGCAAGCCGGCCGATAAAACGTTAAGAATTCGACAAACGAGTCAAGATCGACGGCGCCCAGCTCCTCTTCGTCGGCATCGATCGATAAACAGCGATAGACGGGAATACGAGTCAGAGCTGTCCATAGAGTTTTTGACTTGGCTAGTGAATCAAACTGATTGAAATTGAGAAGCCATTGTTGTTTATCTGATGAATCGCCTCGAAAATGTCTTGGATAAACATCAACGAATACGGCGAAATCATTGTCAGACGATTGTCCGATGCGAATTTTGATCTCGGCGATGTAGCCGGGGAAAATCCCCCTTTTTTCGATCAAGGTTTTTGTATATTTGTTTCCTCTGAAAAAACGCTGAGCCTCAGCATCGTGCAACCATTTCACAACAAAACCCTGAAGTTCTCGAGGAAGAGAAGGAAAGTTTAAAGGTGACAACGACATACCTTTAGAATGGCTGATTTTTCAAAGAAAATTGAATCAATACCTAATAGTGTGGAGAGAGTTCTGCTCAAGGCGCGTCAATTTTCTTATCTTTTCATCTTTTTTTTTCCAATCGGTTTGTGTCTTCTATTTTTGTTTGTTGCTTCACAGAGATTGGCTTTGAAATGACTCAAAAAATGTCTGTCGCGACTCGACCGTACTTTCTATATAATTTCGAGGCTTTCAGAACAGAACTAAGCTTTTGGCAGAATACAATTTTTAAAGCAAAACTGGCAAAACAAACATATACAAAAATTTGTTGGGGGAGCCATATAGCGCTCTATTCCAATGTTTGTTCCAGCTTGGATGCCATCACTCTCCTTGGCGATTCCAATCACCAAGGATTGGAATGTCACATTTGCAAATTGGAATCGCCAAGGAGAGTGATGGAACCCAAGCTGGAATAAACATTGGAAAAGAGCGCTATATGGCTCCCCCCACAAATCGTCGATTATCAAAATGACTCAAAAGTGGAGAAGGATTTTATATATCAAGAGAAATTCATCTTTCTAACTTTGAAATTTGAATCTAGGTTTGCCATAAGAACGACGGATGGGCCTTGTTTTCTGGGAGTTGATTGAGAGGAATTCAAAACAAACCAACAAGTGGGATGAAGATGAGCAGAACGAAGTGGGTACGTTCTGCGTGAATTGCTGCAAGCTTTCCTTGTAACGTTGCGCTAATTAAAGAGTGAGTTCAAATTTTCAAAATATGACAAAATCCCTTAGATGTAGGAATTGTAGTAATTACCATTCGCACAAAGATTTACTGTATTTTTTTTCAGTGCTTTAACAGTAATTACCCCACTGTGTGAGGGGGAAGTAAAGAAAAGCGAAGGTTTCATATCCCAAAAAAACATGTTTTAATAAACGAAAATTCTTTGGTCTAGATTTTAGGGTTCATTTTGGAAATTTTACTTCTTATCAATTGTGGGTCTTTTTTTCATGCCATATCGGCTACAAGTTTTCAGCTACAAGGCAGGGTTTTTAGAAACACTAAGTCATTTTCGTGAATTAATTCAACAGTTGTGGAATGTATAAAAAAATAATCAAACTTTATGCAAATAACCGTATGATGGAGTTTTATGTATTTTGTTGATTCATTTTTTTTCCTATGGATGCATCCATTTGTCGGTGAGAAGTATGAGTGGAGGATAGCCTGTAAAATCAGCATTTTCCATAGGTTTTGTGGTGTCAGTGAAGTTTTTGCCGTTTGAAACATAGTTACTTCAACAAGTCTAAAGCTTTACTGGTTTTTTTTCCATTCCACTCACCCCTACATGCGATGCCCAGTCGAATGCCCACGGCACAATGACACTCGAATGTTCCGGGCACATTCACGCATTTGAATTCATCTCTTAAATTCCCACAAGGATGAAATTCGTTTGCGCACTCGTCAATGTCAGTACATTGCATGCCGTTTTGACCCGAGGAATCCACGACAATCTGAATGATGATGAAAGTGATATTTGAGAACAAAATTGGTTTCTATTGGGTTGGGGAGAATGAGTCGGCGCCGAAAATCAAAGAAATTTCTAAAACTTATAGCAGACTTTGTCAAATGATATGCGTTTGATATCCGTAGAAGGGTAACTAATTCTCTACAAAATAATATTTAAAAGAGAACTCAAACAGCACCTCAACTCAACAAAGGATCATTTTTTTCACAAAATCGATAAACTGTCATCTAGAGTAAACGGTTGGAGGGATCTTCCTGAAAATTTGGTAACTTATGTAATTGAGTGTGCTCTATCTTTTTTATATAAACACCAAAGGAGGTTTATGTGGAAGAAACTGTTCAAGCAATGAGTCGGACTTTTTGTCATTTTGATTAGCTGTGTTTGGGAATCCATAAAATCCCAAAAAAGAAAAGCTTTGTGGAATCTCTCAAAAGCCATTTTGTAAAGAAATAGTGGACCGTTTTGATGAAACAAAACGTGTATTTAAAGAAGGTTTTATGGGTGCAAAAAGTTTCTTTAAATTTCGGCGCCGACTCATTCTCCCCAACCCAATAGTTCTTTTTTCCTAGGCATTAGCCCACTATTGCAATATCAGCCGAAAAACCCTCTGGCTGGATCTTTTGGGGCCAACACATAGTTGCCGTGGTACAGCCAGGAGCTCGCTTGTCTATGGCCCACACCACCCGGGTTCGACCTCCCGTAGTGCCACTCAATCTTGATTTTTTTATTTAAAATGGCACAACTGTAATGCTGTATTAGAATGTCGCTCTCTAATAGAACGATACCCGGAGGGGGTACTGAAAAATACATCCATTTACATTTGAAATAGAATTTTTAATTTCCATTCAAAATTTGTGTTGAAACTGGGCAGCTACGCCCCTTTTAAAATTCATTTTCAAAATCTCAATCTTTTCATTTTCGCACCAAACATTTATTACATTTATCTCTCTCACTTTTTGTCTCTTGTCTGATCTCAACAATAAGTGCAAACTACTTGAAGGAGGTGATCGCCATTTTTTGGCGGCAGAAGTTGATCAGTTGATCATCGATTGGATTTGATCTCAACGCGACGATAAGAAGCGAATCACTCAAGGATTGTTCTTGACAAAGCAGCAATCGAATTTACAAGAGCAGGAGTCAATTTCAATAAAAGCCACGGATGGTTAAAAAGTTTCTTTCGACGGCATAAACTCTCTTTGTGTGTACCGACAGCCCAATGTCAGAAACCGCCAAGCGAAAAGTTCCTTGTGAAATTTGTCCTGTACCCTTGCGACATTCGAAAAACCCAACAATTATAAGTTCATTTTTGCGGCTAACGAGACAGGAGTTTGGATCGATGCATCTGGAAGCAAGTGTGCCGATAAGAATGGAGACAAAAAAGTCGGAGTATTGACTACGGGGGATGACAAGGTGTGCATTTCAGTAATGTTGAGTGCCAAGTCGGATGGTAAAAAGCTCAAGCCATATGTGTTGCAAGGATTCGATACACGTGCCGATGCGCCAACTGAGGATGCAGCCGAGGAAAGTAATGACTTGAATCTTTTCGATTTTGATATTCCGCTAGATTTTATGGGCTAAATTATAGCGTTTTGATTTGTTAAAATTGATGTTTTTATTAATAAAATACTTATTGTATACGCTTTTTCGAAATGGAAACTATTTTTTGTGGTCCTCAGCGGCCATTCAAGTGAAAAATAGAATGACATGTCATGTCAAACTCGATTTTTAAAAAATTTGTCGAAGGGATTTCAAAAAATTCTTTTATTTTCGGATTCAGCACATTTTTCTGCGTCAATCGGTTATTCAAACGTAATTCAAACGGCACACATTTTCGCGCGGATGTGTGACACTCTTTAATAGAACAACACCCTAGGGGGGTATTGAAAAATAACGACGAAAATAACGAACGATTTCTAATACAGCATTTACAATATATTATATTTTGAGATTTTTTAAGAAATTTCATTTTTTTTGGCCCAAAGACGGCTGAGAAAAAGCCCGTACAGAAGGACACTTCTTTTTTATATATAGTAGATTAATCCCACAAGTTATTCGTTGAATCGTGTTCAGCAAAGAAACCAACTTTGATCTCGTAGCCCATCGGACAATCGCAACGATAACCCCCGGCAAAGTTGACGCACCTGGCCTCTGTGGGACATATCGGCTGGTTACACTCGTTAATATCTAAACATTTGTAAAGTTGGCATATAGATCTTTGAATATGGGAATTTTGATCCTATTGAGGGTTTCAAATCGCCGTGACTTCTCCCGAGAAGTACAAAAGTCATAAAAATTTCCCATTAGATAGCCACAAGTTGAGGCTTTCACTTAGAAATCCTCGTTAACACTCGATAAGTAATTAAGATAACACTCGATTTACAACAGCTTGTTACCTTCACAATGCGTTCCATTTCCTTGCCAACCAACATTACAATGACATTGATAATTCGAATCACAATAGGAATTGAGAGCACATACAGTGTTGCCACAGCTAGAAGGCATCAAATCTGCGGCTGCTATTTGTCGCGAAGAAATAAGTGCTGTAAAGAGGAAAAGTTAGGCGAAAAGTTAAACTTCCTACCCCCAATCGTTAGCAAGAATTTCGACATCTAGAAACAAAATATATAGAAGAGAATTCAGAGAATATAAAGAGAAACGAGAAAAAGACAAAGGGAGCAAAGTAAAAAGTAAAAATGGAACTTTCAGTTTTGCCAGTCTCAAGCTAATCTCAGTGTTCAATCTTTTCTTGAAACGAACTCCAAAAATCTAGTTTCTTCTCGTTTCTTCTTTCTTGTATCGAAGCACCAAAACAGCTCAAAAATTGGTCCAAAATCAGAAACCTTTTGAATTGTTTTCAAATTTGATTGCGAAAATTTCAAATTCAATAAAATTAGTGCTTATTTTAAGGAAGTGCAATCAATTAGAGTTGAAAAAAACTTTAACCCATTCGAAACTCCTGCAGCGAATAATCGCTGCAACAAAAACTCGGGAACGGACCGCTGCAGCGTTAATTGAGCTATTTTCATTCAATTAATTGCTTTTTTTTTGCTGTTTTTCAGCATTACATGTATATACCAATTGTAGCAGATCTACAAATTACGTGAGCAAAAAAGATGTTTCATATTTACCCGGAATCAATGCAGTCTCTGGTTTTGCATTGAAATGTTCCATAATAGCTCTAATCTTATAAAGCCGATCTGCTGCAGGATCCAGTTCATTATCACAAAAACGCAGGTTGCGAAGAATGGATTCAAATTTTGCTCTTGACATAATGTGGGACATGTGGGAAAATCCTCCTAATCCAGGCTTGCTACTCCAGTAGTCACGAATCCTCGGTAATTTGACGATTCCCATTTGAAGCCAGGAAGAGCTTGAAAGATTTTGCATCGAAATCCTGCCAGTTTGTTTTCCTTTTTCCATGTTTATTAGATTCGCCTACTAAAATATTGTCGTCGATAAAATAAGAACAATAATCGATAGGATCTTGAAAAGTACTGAAGTCGAATCCAAATCGTTCTTCATCAAAAATAAATGGTGTAGGAGACTCTCTTACATCTTTCCAACCATAAATAAACTGCTTCGGAGTGAAAAATGTCAAAAAAGGGCTTGGTCCGTAGACGAAAAAAAGAAAAAACGCTGCGGTTTCGAATGGGTTAAAGATAAACTGCCTACCTTTTCAAGCAATAAGTTTGTATTTTGTTTTTACAACACGGACTTCAAGGTTTATTTGAGTAAAAGTTTCTTTTTCAATTAATCTTTAACAAAATTAGAAAATCGAAACAATTTGTGGGCATTTGCTTGTTCGGCCCGCTTTTCGATTCCACAGCAACACCACATAGGACAAGTTGAAGATCAAATTTGCGAAAACAGTAGAGGATTGACGTTTTTTAACGCTCAAATCTCATCATCGCAGTAAACCCGACGCTTGCCAAACGACGGTGTTGAGAAGAAAAATCGAAAAAGCCTCATCGATCAGATGGGAACAGGCCGCGATCGAAAGAGCCGCCATCCAGTTGATCGAGAGATTCGCGATGATCTCAGTTTGAAATGAAAAACTGAAACCTCTGCCCCCTCCTATTTTCTTATTAAATTCACATTTTATCCTACCTGCAACGCCAACTTGTACTTGACTTTTAAATCCTTATTTTTGTGTTTGCTATGCTGGCCTCCTCTGCAGAGAACTCTCCTCCATCGATGCACCAACACGAAAAGCCATATGTCAATAAAAGTGACACACGGCGTGAAGATATACTCGAATAGAGTCTAAAGTGATCTTGTAGTTACCGTGTTTACTTTATTAGTACTGAGCAATACTATTTTTTCGTGACGGCTCAGACCGCAGTACTATTATAGGCGCTCGATCCTCCCCCATGCAACTCGAGTTTGTTATGGAACTTGGCGACAACTTTTGGATGAGCTTGGCCTAGAAAATGGGGTACTAGAAACAACCGCTGGTCAAGACGATGCAAAACTTTCTTCCATCAGTCACATATGAGGCATTTTGTTGGATTGAATTGTTACTCCCAAACTTCTGCTCATTTTGCGACTGGAAATAAAAATCGCCGAAGCAGAGGTTTACTTTTGAAAACTTTCTGATGCACAGTTCGACGTGTCAAGTTCGGAAAAGGCGTATGAAGACGTTCTCCGATTTCGTTGAGGTTAATTGAGCTGCTGCGAAAAGTTCGAGAAGTTAGTTCAACCGCAAGAGTTCGGAAATTTATTCAAAAACTTTTTAAAGCATCAGATATTCAGCGAAAACTTGAAGCTGGTCGTATCACCGAGGCCGTGTAGCCGGGTTTGATTGGATGGGGCACGACAGGTGCGCATCAAGCTCTGAATGAGAACTTATTAATGGCTCTGCGCTCAATACTAACCGCAGAGTTGCTCGACTGATTCGGCACAACGGGAAGCGTTTGGAGTTGAGCACCCAACGCGTTCGCACTGTAAACTCCCATGTGCCACTAGGTAACAAACAATCCAACAAGTGTCCCCGACAGGAAGGCTTAGAAACTTGCTTGAAAGAAGTGGACATGGCTTTAAAGCCATGTCCACTTCTTTCGAGCAAGTTTCTAAGAAAAAAAAAAAAAAAAAAAAAAAAAAAAAAACCCTATCAAATAACCCAAAAAAAAAAAAAAAAAACAACACCCCAAAAAAACCCCCCTATGCGCCGCGCACTTCTCCACCTTTCAACAAAAAATTTTAAAAAAATAAAAAAAAAAAAAAAAAAAAAAAAAAAAAAAAAGGAAAACCCACTTTTTCAATCCTCCTTTAAAAAAAAAAAAAAAATAAAAATTTAAAATTTCTCCTTTTAAACAAATTTAATTAAAAATTTCCCTTTTTTAAAAGGGGGGGGCGCCCCCCCCCAACAGCGAGTTTGACAATAAGGCAACCCTAGTAGTGTACCCCATTTTGCTCTTTTGTGAAAATTTGACCCAAAAGCAAGAGATATTTAGCTGATTGATTCTAGAGAAGACAAATCGTGTTTTGTTTTATTTATTGCACAAAAAGCTCACTCTTTGAAATCATTCGAAAGAATCGGTCGAATCGTGGTCGCCTGTAAATGTGTCTAAGTGCTAATTTCAATTTGGCCTACAAGATTCGCATTCGAACTCGTCCAGAAACGATTGTCGGCCACGTTTGGGATGGATGCTCTCATCGTGATATCACATTGTGCCTGGAATTCAAACCATCCTCTCAAATTCGCGCAACTCACCAATGGATTGTTGAAATAATTCCTCGTGATGCTCATCCCAGAATCATTTTGGAATATCACATCTTGTCCTTGATTCTCCAGGAAATAGTTGTTGCTGAGAAGAATATTGTTTTGTGATCCACTCGTCCCATTGGTGAACAATCCGACAGTTGTCGTGAAATTATTTCGGTAAACCACGTTGTTTGTCATTGTGACAATGAAGCGTTGATCTAAAAAAGAGTTTTTGAAGCGAAACTTTACAAGCTTTGCCGGGAAACCGATCGTCAATTACAACAGAAAACTTGCAGGTGTGCAACAGAAAATTTAGTGTCTTTCAACAGCAGATCTAATGATTTAAATAGCTTTCGAAAAGTTGATTTCAAAAGGGGAATCAAACATTTTCGTTACATTCCTGTGGCCTCACTATTTTCTCGTTAAAGTCTCACCGGGATCATCTTGCAAAGGGGTTAACCCGATGAGGAACTCGAATTGAAGCCCATAAAAGCTATTCTCCACTTGAGCGCTGTTCACAAAAATCGAGTTCGTGATTCGGGAATTCGTTTGCGAAGCGTAGAGGTTGATGGCATAGCCTGAAGAGGAGAGGGAAATCGCTTGCACTAGTTGTACTGTTGTAACTGTTGTAAAAAAAACACCCTCCCTTCTTTTTTTTTTTTTCTCCCCCCCCCTTTTTTTTTTTTTTCAAAATGTAAAATTTTTTTTCCCCCCCCCCCCCTTTTTTTTTTTTTCTCTTTCAAAATGTAATATCCACTCAAAGTTGTTGGTTAAAAACCTAAACCCCGCCCATAATGGGCCTAACCTTCAAGTGGGCGGGCTTAAAGTGGGCGGGGCTAGGTAGGTTCCGCCCATTATGGGCGGGATTGAACCTTTTGTCTGAAAACTTTACATGGCTATTAGATTTTGGGTTCATTTTGGTATCATTCGACGCGCAATTTTATTCTGCATCGAATGTTAGACAAAATAGTTAAAATGGAAGGGTTGGTGCTGAACGAAACACGAAAAACCTTAAACTGCCAACGGCAAAAAGAACCAACAAGTCTAGTGCAAGCAATAACTATTTCATTTCTAGTTTACCGAGATTTGCATCAAAGCGACTCCGATCAACGACAACGTTCATTTGTCGCGCCGTCGGTGACTTGATCCCACCTGAAAGTCGGAAATAAATGGACTATCAAATCAAGAAAAACCTCCGTTTCCTTTCAAAATGCTGTTGATCACTTGCACCGAACAGGAATAGCATTGATCAAATTCAACTAAATTGCATCAATAAAGCACCAATACAATTTGATTACTTGCAGTTGCGTTGTTGTTCCCCTCAATGATCGAATTGTTGACGAGCAAGTTGAATGGATCAGAGATGTCTTGCGATGTCACATCTGAAATGGTTGGCTTGTCGAAAGGACTAATGTAAAAATATTGCTAGGTGATGCTGTGGTTTCTTTTATGATTATAACCAAATCTTTGCCGGAAATTCACGTCTTTAACAATTTAAGAGCAACTTTTGACAAAGAAAGCTCTTTTTGCTGTTGAATACAATTTTAAAAGCTCTATCAAATAGTAAAATCAAGGTTTTGAAAAGGTGTTTTCCGTTAAGTTACTAAGAACAGATAGAAAGTAGATAGGAAGAAAAGATAGAATACTTACTGTCTCTTGAATAATCGATCGCACCACCAAATCCTAGTATCCCATTTGAGACGAACGATGTGCTGTCAATGTTTAGAGACAAATTTCGATTCAGAGTGCCGGCTGCGAGGAGAATCCAGATTCCCTCATAGTAATTGAATGAAAGATTCGATTTCGTCACCACTGAAACAGCAAGTAAGCCAAAAGACAATGTTTTATCACTCACAAATCGTGCCAGCCACCGCACCAGCGAGATGCATTCCCTGACCATTGGTCTTTGAGGTGAGATTGGTGAAAACGATGTCAGAGGTCTAATAAAAAGAAAATTTAAGAACGTCGGGCTTTGTAGATGGGTTTTTTTTAATGAGTAACTCTGGTTTAAAGAATCGTAACTTCTTTTACAACTAAATTAAGCTCATCTCGATATTACTTTGAAGCCCGAGTTCACCTCTTTTCGAATACATAAAAAGTTCTCAGCCTTCGAATCTCTGCTCAGCAATTTTTCAAACCAACCGAATTCGTGATCAAAACGCCGTAATCCGGGGAATTGATGACCACTGAATTGGCGATGGTGACGGATGGGAGTGCGCCCCACTTAAAGAGCTCTTTTATTGTTAAAACAATGAACAAACCTGTGACACCTGGATTCCGATGTTATTATGATCGACTGTGACGGCGTTGATTGTTGGTGGATTCGTGCAATTTGTCACTGTAAAAGAAACAGTCGATCTAATCAACATTGACCCACCCTTCAGACCAATGGCTGCATGTTTGATGAGTAGATTCGAAATCGAGCCTCCGTCTGAAAAACGAAGTCTTTAGCCATTACAGCGTGACTGGAAAGTTCTGCTACTTTTTGAAAATTGAAGAAAAGTCACAATTTTTCTTGAACAACCATTATTTATGTTTTTTTTTTTACTGAAATTAGCGTATTTTTAGATCTGATTTTGTTGATTTCACTACTGTTTTTAACTTTGATTTTACAGGGTGACGGACCATCATCGAGTTGCACAAGCGTGGATTCAAGAATCCAGACATTGTAGGAGTAACGAGACTGGATGTAACAAAATGAAGGTCAAACGAACAGTGGATCAAGAGTTGCGAGATGATTCGAAGACTTAAACTGCGTAGAGCATGCGAAATTTTGTTGTGAAACATAATCAATTTAATGACAAGATCACTCTTAAAAATCCAATACATGAGTAGCGTGCCGAGCGAAACTCGGCTCTCAACTTTGGAAGGCTATATAAAAAGTTGAAAGATTGAATCGATTAGATAATGGGCACCGTTCAAGGAGACATACTTAAGATTTACCTCCAGAAAAATCAGAACGATTCACCCAAATTTGGCCAATCTAGGCCCTTTGAAATGCTATAATTGTAGGCCACTCTGTAGAGTGGATTCCTCTCGATTGTTTCCTCGATTGATGCCCTTTCTAAAAGGCGCACCGATTCTCGTAAACTACCGTAATCCTATAGTCAGAGACTGCCAAATTTTGGCATCTTTGACTGAATTTTGTAATTCCTCATCGATTGATATCAAAATTCGGTCATGTCGGGGAAAACTGGGCGTACAATTACAGTAGTCTTCGAGGATAAATGCCTTGGTGCATTAATCGAGTGAAACTCACTCTGTTAACCATTCCTACGGTTGAAACAAACTTTTGCTATTCACTAACTTCTTGTGGATACAGTGAGGCCGCCCCATGCAGAATATGATGACTCGAACAGTGACTTCATCTCAACTGGCATCGACACAGTGCCCAGAATCGAGATTCTCCCTGAAATTGAGCACTGAATAGAAAGGGTTTAGCAGTCGATCAACAATACTTTACAAAACCAGTTTAAGGATTGATTCTTAAAGCTTGCTAGCTTGCTTTATTCTCTTTATAGAAGATCTTCTTTTCTTTTCCTACCTGAGAAATAAAGCAGCTAAGTGAATAAGGAAATGAACGCTAGTGAACTTTGCAATATTTTTTATTGTTTCAGATGAATACAACTCACCATAGACGATGAGCTTGGTGTTTCCTTGGAATACGAACGTGACACCGGGTTGCAGTGTCAGCGTCTCGCCGGCATTCACTGTCAAATCGCCGATAATCAAATAGGAACCCTGTGGGACGGTGTATTGGGTGGTTGTCGAATTGCAGCCAATGCACAGGTCGCTCTTTGAATAGATTTGCGTGAAAACCGGGAAACCGGCGTTCACAATGGCGGCAGCATAAAAGACGAGCAATAGCTGAAACTCAGGGTCAAAAGCACCGATAAAAGCGTCGATACTCAACCTTTGTTTTAAATAATTTTTGTATTTTTCTTTTAGATTAAAAAAACCCAGTCAAATGTATTCCAATTACTTCTTTTTCAAACGTCAATGGGTGCACAACGGAAATTACGTTTTGATCATTTTAATTTTAATCCTAAGATCAACTTTTAAAAAGTTCTTTGGATAGGGTTTGTAATAGTGAGAAGAATTTATGTAAATGTCTATTTTAAAGGCTTTTAAAGACGCAAAATAGTTTCTCTCTGTTGTACATCTATTGACATCCAGTCCTAGTCTCACCTTTATAACGCTATGCATGTTTGTCGAATGTAGAAGGCTTCTGAAGAGTTTTTTAGAAGTCCAGGATAGTCCGTGTACAGTTTAACATAGAAATTTGTAAACTTTTTAGATAAATGATAAGAGCCTGTGTCAAAAATTCTAATGAGATTGTGCTAAAATACCCAAGTGACCTTTGGAAAGTTTCTTCAGTCTTTTTTCAGTATTTAGTTGAAATCATTTGGAGACCACTTTTTATTTGCTTCTCTGAAATGAGTTGTGCGAAGAGAAAGGGTTCCCGATGTTTCTATTTACACAAGAAGTACAAGAATTGCAAGAGTGACTATGCCAAATGTTCCTTTCAAAGGGGAAATTCGATCTTTGAAAATTCAGTACATAAATCAGTACATGTCAATACATTTTCCGAGTTATTCGAGAAATTTACGTCATCCTGTGTGTGTAAAAAGGATTAGCTTAAAAATTGATGTATCACTGATCAAGAATTTGAAAAGTTACATTGAAAGTTACGATTTCTAAAGTTTTCTTAGAATTAGATCTGAAAAAGTCTGACAATAAAATTAAAATGTGGTAGTAAAAGTCAAAGTCATCCAACGGCTCAAGAAACAACTTGAAAAAAATTGTCAACAAAATTCCACTTCTTTATCGATTTATTGACAGTTCTGGTGTGGATTTGGCTAGAAAATAGCTTTCCGACAATTTATTACATCATTTAAAGTCGGGATAGTGATTGAGGAGACCCGTTCGGTCGCACAGATCGTTGTTGGCATTCTGAAAAAGTGCCGAAGAGAAATCACTTCTGTGCTAATTTTGAACTCAACTCTAACTACAAAATCATAGCAAAAACATCTTTAGAATTAAATCAAGCAAGGCAGAACTTCTGGGAAAAAGGAGAGAAGTCACCGTATTTCCAGATCAGAACCACCGTAAGTGTAATAAGCGCCCCATCCCTTTGCGCGCTCCATTCTCAGTCCTCATTGAAATTATAGACATGTGTTATGTACTAAAAGATAGCAGAGATTTACTCTAACTACAAAACTCTAACTACAGCCATCATCACCAGCAGTGCTAGAAAGGTATTCAGAGTTCTGTACACTTTACGACTCCAATCTATATTTCGGGAGCGTACGCGAGCCTTGTCGAAGTGATGCAATTAAAGTTGGCCATTAAAGCTAAAAGAAACTGAAAGAAAGAAGTCAAAGAGTCTCTGACTAGTGGATGAGACTTTACAATTTTTTCGGAACACCTTTTAAAAATAATGCTGCCACCAATAAAATTCCTACTTAAACTATTAAAAAGTTTGGTTGTTTCTCTGCAAAATGGGGTTTGGAAAATTCTTGAAAGTCGTTGTTTTTGTGAATCTTCAAAGGCGCAAAGGTGAATACTCAAAACTGCCGAAGTTGAGGTCGAATTCAGCTGAAGTCCGATGCTGAAGTCAAAATTTAGACACTCTCTTCAATACAAACCGATTTTGGTATCAGTAAAAAAAAGAGAGCTGATTTGATTAAATAAGAATAGTGTGATCTGGGCAAGATTTCTGAGTGCTGTAATTGGCAGTAAACGAATGAATATCGCAAAACGGGAAACCCGGAATCTCCTAACATCGTCCGAATTTTCTTTCCCCTTCTCTCCCCTGAGAATTTATAAGACAAGTGGTTTTTCGTTGCACTAATGAGTCGAACTAAAACAAAAATTAAAAAGGGAACTACGAATTTGGCCAATTTATTTCAAATTTCCTTTCCAATTTTTGAAAAAGATCTTGCAAAGGAGTTAACCCAATGAGGAACTCGAATTGAAGCCCATAAAAGCTATTCTCCATTTGAGCGCTGTTCACAAAAATCGAGTTCGTGATTCGGGAATTCGTTTGCGAAGCGTAGAGGTTGATGGCATAGCCTGAAGAGGAGAGAGAAATCGCTTACACTAGTTGTACTGTTGTACTGTTGTTGTAAAAGTTATATCCACTCAAAGTTGTTGGTTAAAAACCTAAACCCCGCCCATAATGAACCTAGCCTTCAAGTGGGCGGGCTTAAAGGGGGCAGGGCTAGGGCTAAGTCCCGCCCATTATGGGCGGGATTTAACCTTTTGCCTCATAGCTTTGCATGGATATTAGATTTTGATTTGAGTTGATTTGGTATCATTCGACGCGCAATTTTATTCTGCATCGAATGTTAGACAAAATAGTTAAAATGGAAGGGTTGGTGCTGAGCAAAACACGAAAAACCTTAAACTGCCAACGGCAAAAAGAACCGACAAGTCTAGTGCAAACAATAGCTATTTCATTTCTAGTTTACCGAGATTTGCATCAAAGCGACTCCGATCAACGACAACGTTCATTTGTCGTGCCGTCGGTGACTTGATCCCACCTGAAAGTCGGAAATAAATGTACTATCAAATCAAGGAAAACCTCCGTTTCCTTTCAAAATGCTGTTGATCACTTGCACCGAACAGGAATAGCATTGATCAAATTCAACTAAATTGCATGAAAAAAAACACCAATACAATTTGATTACTTGCAGTTGCGTTGTTGTTCCCCTCAATGATCGAATTGTTGACGAGCAAGTTGAATGGATCAGAGATGTCTTGCGATGTCACATCTGAAAGGGTTGGCTTCTCGAAAGGACTAATGTAAAAATATTCCTAGGTGATGCTGTGGTTTCTTTTATGATTATAACCAAATCTTTGCCGGAAATTCACGTCTTTAACAATTTAAGAGCAACTTTTGACAAAGAAAGCTCTTTTTGCTGTTGAATACAATTTTAAAAGCTCTATCAAATGGTAAAAAAAGGCTTTTGAAAAGGTGTTTTTCGTTAAGTCACTAAGAACAGATAGAAAGTAGATAGTAAGAAAAGATAGAATACTTACTGTCTCTTGAATAATCGATGCCGCAACCAAATCCCAGTATTCCGTTTGAGACGAGCGATGTGCTGTCAATGTTTAGAGACAAATTTTGGTTCAGAGTGCCGCCTGCAAGGAGAATCCAGATTCCCTCATAGTAATTGAATGAAAGACTGGATTTCGTCACCACTGAAACAGCAAGTAAGCCAAAAGACAATGTTTTATCACTCACAAATCGTACCAGCCACCGCACCAGCGAGATGCATTCCCTGACCGTTCGTCTTTGAGGTGAGATTGGTGAAAACGATGTCGGAAGTCTGATAAAAAGAAAATTGAAGAACGTCGGGCTTTGTTGATGGGTTTTTTAATGAGTAACTCTGGTTTAATGAATCGTAGCTTCTTTTACAACTAAATTTAGTTATTGGGTTGGTGAATTGAAAACTGCGGGTCTTTGAACTAAAATTTTTTCAACATAAAACCAAACATCACTCCAAATAATTTCCATCGTTATTGACGACTTCTTCCCATTTGAATGAGTAACTCTGGTTTAAAGAATCGTAACTTCTTTTGAAACTAACTTTAGCTGATTTCGGTATCACTTTGAAGCCCGAATTCACCTCTTTTCGAATACATAAAAAGCTAAAGAAGTTCTGAGCCTTCGAATCTCTGCTCAGCAATTTGCCTGACCAACCGAATTCGTGATTAAAACGCCGTAATCCGGGGAATTGATGACCACTGAATTGGCGATGGTGACGGATGGGAGTGCACCCCACTTAAAGAGCTCTCTTATGCCTCAAAACAATGAACAAACCTGTGACACCTGGATTCCGATGTTATTGTGATCGACTGTGACGCCGTTGATTGTCGGTGGATTCGTGCAATTTGTCACTGTAAAAGGCACAGTCGATCTAATCAACATTTACCCACCCTTCAGACCAATGGCTGCATGTTTGATGAGTAGATTCGAAATCGAGCCTCCGTCTGAAAAACGAAGTCTTTAGCCATTACAGGGTGTTTGGAAAGTTCTGTTACTTTTTGAAAATTAAAGAAAAGTCACTATTTTTTTTGAACAACTATCTTATTCATTTACTCTTATTTTTTTTTTACTGTAATTTGCGTATTTTTTGATTTGATTTTGTTGATTTAATTTCGGTTTTTAACTTTGATTTTACAGAATGACGGGCCATCATCGAGTTGCACAAGTATGGATTCAAGAATCCAGACATTGTAGGAGCTACTGGATGTAACAAAATGAAGATCAAACGAACAGTGAATCAAGAGTTGAGCGATGATTCGAAGACTTAAACTGCGTAGAGCATGTGAAATTTTGTTGTGAAAAATAATAAATTTAATGACAAGATCGCTCTTAAAAATCCCATAAATGAATAGCGTGCCGAGCGAAACTCGGCTCTCAACTTTGGAAGACTATATAAAAAAGTTGAAAGATTAAATCGATTAGATAATGGGCACCGTTTAAGGAGACATACTTAAAATTTACCTCCGGAAAAATCAGAACGATTCACCCAAATTTGGTCAATCTAGGCCCTTTGAAATGCTATAATTGTAGGCCACTCTGTAGAATGGGTTCCTCTCGATTGATTCCTCCTTTGATGCCCTTTCTAAAAGGCGCACCAATTCTCGTAAACTACCGTAATCCTATAGTCAAAAACTGCCAAATTTTGGCATCTTTGACTGAGTTTTGTAATTCCTCATCGGTTGATAACAAAATTCGGTCATTTCGGGGGAAACTGGGCGTACAATTACAGTAGTCTTCGAGGATATATGCCTTGGTGCATTAATCGAGAGAAACCCACTCTGTTAACCATTCTTACGGTTGAAATAAACTTTTACTTCTCACTAACTTCTTGTGGACACAGTGAGGCCGCCCCATGCAGAATATGATGACTCGAACAGTGCCTTCATCTCAACTGGCATCGACACAGTGCCCAGAATCGAGATTCTCCCTGAAATTGAGCACTGTATAGAAAGGGTTTAACCGTCGATCAACAATAGTTTGTTGATCGACTGTTAAACCCTTTGTTGATCCAGTTTAAGGATTGATTTTTAAAGCATTCACTAGCTTGCTTTATTTTCTTTATAGAAGATCTTCTTTTTTTTCCTACCTGAGAAATAAAGCAACTAAGTGAATAAGGAAATGAACACTAGTGAGCTTTGCAATATTTTTACTGTTTTAGATGAATACAACTCACCATAGACGATGAGCTTGGTGTTTCCTTGGAATACGAACGTGACACCGGGTTGCAGTGTCAGCGTCTCGCCGACATTCACCGTCAAATCGCCGATAATCAAATAGGAACCCGATGCGATGGTGTATTGGGTGGTTGTCGAATTGCAGCCAATGCACAGGTCGTTCTTTGAATAGATTTGCGTGAAAACTGGGAAACCGGCGTTCACAATGGCGGAAGCACAAAAGACGAGCAATAGCTGAAATTCAGGGTCAAAAGCACCGATAAAAGCGTCGATACTCAACTTTTGCTTCCAAAATTTTTGTATTGTTTCTTTTAGATTTAAAAAACCCAGTTAAATGTATTCCAATTACTTTTTTTTCAAACGTCAACGGAAATTACGTTTTCATCATTTTAATTTTAATCTTAAGATCAACTTTTAAAAAGTTCTTTGGATAGGGTTTGTAATAATGAGAAGAACTTATGTAAATGTCTATTTTAAAGGCTTTTAAAGGTTCAAAATAGTTTCTCTCTGTTGTACATCTATTGACATCCAGTCCTAGTCTCACCTTTATAACGCTATGCATGTTTGTTGAAGGTAGAAGGCTTCTGAAAAGTTTTTTAGAAGTCCAGGATAATCCGTGTACAGTTTAACATAGAAATTTGTAAACTTTCTAGATAAATGGTAAGAGCCTGTGTCAAAAATTCTAATGAGAGTGTGCCAAAATACCCAAGTGACCTTTGGAAAGTTTCTTCAGTCTTTTTTCAGTATTTGGTTGAAATCATTTGGAGACCACTTTTTATTTGCTTCTCTGAAATGAGTTGTGCGAAAAGAAAGGGTTCCCGATGTTTCTATTTACACAAGAAGTACAAGAATTGCAAGAGTGACTGTGCCAAATGTACCTTTCAAAGGGGAAATTCGAACTTTGAAAATTCAGTACATAAATCAGTACAGGTCCGTACATTTTCCGAGTAATTCGAGGACTTTACGTCATCCTGTATGTGTAAAAAGGATTAGCTTAAAAATTGATGTATCACTGATCAAGAATTTGAAAAGTTACATTGAAAGTTACGATTTCTAAAGTTTTCTTAGAATTAGATCTGAAAAAGTCTGACAATAAAATTAAAATGTGGTAGTAAAAGTCAAAGTCATCCAACGGCTCAAGAAACAACTTGAAAAAAATTGTCAACAAAATTCCACTTCTTTATCGATTTATTGACAGTTCTGGTGTGGATTTGGCTAGAAAATAGCTTTCCGACAATTTATTACATCATTTAAAGTCGGGATAGTGATTGAGGAGACCCGTTCGGTCGCACAGATCGTTGTTGGCATTCTGAAAAAGTGCCGAAGAGAAATCACTTCTGTGCTAATTTTGAACTCAACTCTAACTACAAAATCATAGCAAAAACATCTTTAGAATTAAATCAAGCAAGGCAGAACTTCTGGGAAAAAGGAGAGAAGTCACCGTATTTCCAGATCAGAACCACCGTAAGTGTAATAAGCGCCCCATCCCTTTGCGCGCTCCATTCTCAGTCCTCATTGAAATTATAGACATGTGTTATGTACTAAAAGATAGCAGAGATTTACTCTAACTACAAAACTCTAACTACAGCCATCATCACCAGCAGTGCTAGAAAGGTATTCAGAGTTCTGTACACTTTACGACTCCAATCTATATTTCGGGAGCGTACGCGAGCCTTGTCGAAGTGATGCAATTAAAGTTGGCCATTAAAGCTAAAAAGAAACTGAAAGAAAGAAGTCAAAGAGTCTCTGACTAGTGGATGAGACTTTACAATTTTTCGGAACACCTTTTAAAAATAATGCTGCCACCAATAAAATTCCTACTTAAACTATTAAAAAGTTTGGTTGTTTCTCTGCAAAATGGGGTTTGGAAAATTCTTGAAAGTCGTTGTTTTTGTGAATCTTCAAAGGCGCAAAGGTGAATACTCAAAACTGCCGAAGTTGAGGTCGAATTCAGCTGAAGTCCGATGCTGAAGTCAAAATTTAGACACTCTCTTCAATACAAACCGATTTTGGTATCAGTAAAAAAAAGAGAGCTGATTTGATTAAATAAGAATAGTGTGATCTGGGCAAGATTTCTGAGTGCTGTAATTGGCAGTAAACGAATGAATATCGCAAAACGGGAAACCCGGAATCTCCTAACATCGTCCGAATTTTCTTTCCCCTTCTCTCCCCTGAGAATTTATAAGACAAGTGGTTTTTCGTTGCACTAATGAGTCGAACTAAAACAAAAATTAAAAAGGGAACTACGAATTTGGCCAATTTATTTCAAATTTCCTTTCCAATTTTTGAAAAAGATTCGAAGAAAACAAATTTCGGTTTGCGAAAGCTTTGCGGATTTGCGAAGGTTAATGCCCGAGTTTGCGTTAATCTCTATATCTTTTCAAGTTGGCAATAGTAAGTTTTCGGAATCGATATCCATATAGACATGGGAAAATTCCAACCTGAACCTAATTCCACCTTCGTTTTTTCAGCCGTCCCTTGACCGATTGCTCTAAAATTTTGTCTACAAGCAGAGAATGTCAATTTCTATTTGTAAACATGATTTCAGAACAATTGGCCAAAAGACGGCTGAGAAAACGACGGTGGAATTAGGTTCGGCTTGGAATTCTCCCATGCCTATATCCATAAAAGTACTCTCATTCAGCATTCACCGTCGCCACAGCGAATTTCATTCTCTCATTGATCATATGCACTAAACTAAAGCTTCGAACACAAGGGGAACTCCTCGTCATCGCTTATTATTGTTTCAACGAGGCTCTGAATGGCTACAGTGGCACGTTTTTTTCCTCTCGACGAGTTCTGATGACCGTGTCGGATGTTGGTGAGCAATAGATGGCCATTTTCTTAAATGAAACTAGAATTGTTCAAAGGATTGCTTATTTTTATCGACACTCATTTCCAAGACTGTCCCAGATCCCAAAAAGATCCCAAAAAAGGGTCAGGCCAGGACCAAGTGTTCTGAATGGCTGACAAAGACTGAACAAATCATTGTCTTACTATCTTTTTTAAATTGTTTCCTAGAGCTTTTGATGGTTTCGGATTTGATCTGACAGTTTTTTAGTAAAAAAAATTCATGCTGGACTGGCCTGGCTTGAGTTTAAGGAGCCAAACCCAGTTCCAAGCCTGGCACCTGCTCATTTCTCTGCAATCTTTATTTCCACTAGTTTTGGCTTATCATCGATTTCCAGTACCAAAAAATCACTTAAAATACCATTAAGCAGTTTTCAGCTTGGCCGCTTGTCCCACGAATGGCGTGTGTCTTGAATCCGGCGTTTGTGCTTTGGCTTTTCACCGGCTACTCGATTCCGCTCGCCGAAATCCTTCTGACTTTTGATCGAATTTGGGCTCTCTATTTCCCACTTTCCTATAGCAGAACGTCGCTTAAACGGGTTTTCATCACGATAAACGGTTTGTTTTGAGAATTGAAGAAAAAAGAAAAATTGGTTTGAAAAACCCTTAAGTCGCTCTACAGAGTGGCCTACAATTATAGCATTTCAAAGGGCCTAGATTGGCCAAAATTGGGTGAATCTTTCTGATTTTACTGGAGGTAAATTTTAAGAATGTCTTCTGTAATGGTGCTTATTATCTAATCGATTCAAGCTTTCAACTTTTTTATATAGCCTTCCCAAGTTGAGAGCCGAGTTTCAATTCAAGTTTTTCAATTCGTTTCCAAAACTTAAAAGCTATATAAAAGAGTTGAAAGCTTGAGTCGATTAGATAATAAGCACCATTCCAGGAGACATTCTTAAGATTTACGTCCAGAAAAATCAGAACAATTCACTCAATTTTGACCAACCTAGGCTCTCTGAAATGCGGCGCTTTAATTCTGGGCTACCCTGTGAAAGTTTCGAAAGCTTTAACAAACCAAGTTTCATCAATACTTCTAACTAAACAAAAATGATCACTGAGGTGTTTCCCCTTCAGTAATCTCTCTGGTCTCGCTTCTTCTCGCAATATTTGACATCGCTGAGTCGTGGATCGAGGAAAGCGGAAAAACGACGATGATCTCGCCGGGATGCTATCTTGATGCTTTCACAAAAATCACTTATTATGGGTCGTATTTCGCAAAAGGCCTTTTATATCTCATCTGCTGCACCCTCTACATGCCGGTGCTATGGAAAGTGAGAAAGGTGAGGGCTGGGTGAGTTCTTTTTCCGCAACTAGGCGAAAACACCGAATGTTTGGTGATTTTACCTTTAAAGCTGCGGAAAAAGTTGCAGTAAGTGAGGACTCTGGCCAATTTTGAAGAACATTGTTGAATATGTCGTTTTCAGATCATGAGCACTTCAATGAATCGAAAAATGCGCGCGACCGTGAGAGGATCTCTGGCGATCGGTGAGACTTGGAACAAACTTGAAGCTCTTCGTGACTTGTACAGTGACTTTACAGGACACCGTTTTCCCGATTTTGAGGAGCCTTAAAATCTGGCAAAACTACTTTTTTTTCTAAAGGGGGGCGAGGAAAATGGGTCATCGGACATTTGCTATGAGCCCCGCCCCCATTGGCAATCTAACTTTGAGCTCAAATATCTTGGTGTTGGGCTCTCCAATTTACATATTCTTGGTATCATTGGGAGCGTCAAGTCTTTTTCCGTCACTGGTACAAAAACCATTTACATTGGACAGTCCAACATTGAGATATTCGACCCTAAAGCTAGATTGCCAATGGCAAAGGGGCGCGGCGCCTATCTCATGTCCCAAAATCAGGAAAATGAGTACCTGGGTACTCTATTACTCTATTACTTATTGTAGATACTCAGCATAAGGCAAAGTATCAAAAAAGATTTCTATTCCCAATACAATCCTTTAGGTCTTCTAATCGTGGCTCTGTTGGGGTGCATCATTCTGCCGACTCTCTTCCTCACTTAGCTCTTCCCAAGCCCAAACGGATTCCTCATCTTTGCCAATCTTCTCATGTTGAAACCCTGGATGAATGTGATTGTTGCTCTTTTACTTTTTAAAGATCTCCGGACCAGAATCAGAGAAATCCTATCTTCTGCATTGAAATTGCCCTGTCGCGAGAAAAGTGTTGTCTCTGTGAAATCGCCGTCAACTATTTGACTATGAATGGTTTCTATTGATTAAAGTTTTACACAGTAAATGAATTTTTTAAGTTCCCTAAACGATTTTTAATTTGAATCTTACAAGAAAAGACTTTTCGGATAAGATGAAAAGCAATAGAATTAACTACTTCAGTGTTTGCCCATTTGATTTTCGTTGTAGCTATGAAAAGCATTTTGTGCGTGTTACTGTGGTGACTGTTCAAGCTAAGTCTATTTTTAGTTTTAGTTTTGTTTATTAAAATGGTCGCAAGAGGTTTTGATTTTGAGAAAGATCCATGCAGTATTTTCCAAGCTGGGCACAAGCCCAATAGCAGACGCACGTCTCTCCTGGTGGACAGTCTTTGTCCCCACGGCAAGGCTCCTGAAGAAATCATGAATTTACAATGTTCGCTTTGTCATGATAGTCGAAAAGATACTAGATTCTGCTACAGATTTGCCCTAGAGATCTAGGATTTCAGAAAACTCTAGCGCTGAAATTGCAAATGATTATGGGGGAAATTTTGGGTTCACAAAAAAGGGCATAACTTTCTTCAAAATGAATATTTTTCGCCAAATAATCTTTGATTTTAACGCATTTTTACACATAACATAAGTAAATCGGATTTTTGTCGGTTATACATCCACAAAGACTCATCTCGGTTAAACATCCCCATCCGAGTCTTCTCGGTTATCGATTTTCGTTAGACTGATCGACTGATCACTTCAGACAAGCACTCTACCTCACTGAGCATAATCACCCCTCACCAAGTTGTCAGCTTCTTGCTTAACCGAGTTGAGTCTCTGTGAATGTATAACCAACCGTAAGTCTTAAAGTACCGTAAATCGTTTATCTAAACAACTCACCCCATCCGGCTTGATCATTTGGTTGGGAATGGCGATCGATTGCGAGAGCACAAAGAACGAGAGAAGCAAGCAAACGAGCACTTTGAGCATCACTGAAATCACGTTTTGATTGAGTGGAAATGTGATTGGAAGTTTTGAACCTTTCCAGGAGAGATCCTCCCAGCGCTTTCCCTTATCACCAAAAGACCAAGGTCCATTCATTGAATTCTCGACTCTTGTGATAACGTCATTTTTAAGCTTTACACACAAAAAGGTTATTTATTGAAATGGGTCTGGTTTTTTTGAGAAAAGGCCCATTTTTAAAATCAAAGGAACGATTTCATCACACAGACAAGATTTGGGTGGCCCAGAATTAAAGCGCCGCATTTCAGAGAGCCTAGATTGGTCAAAATTGAGTGAATCTTTCTGATTTTACTGGAGGTAAATCTTAAGAATGTATCCTGTAATGGTGCCTATTATCTAATCGATTCAAGCTTTGAACTCTTTTATATAGCCTTCCAAAGTTGAGAGCCGAGTTTCGCTCGGCTGAATTATGGGAAAAAGTAAAGAAGTGCATCGAAAGCGATTGCCAAGGATATCTTATCTACATCAAGCCGACCTTGAAAGGAGGCGTTTGTGATGAGAAGATAAAACTAATGAGTAGCCTAAAAGCTTACATTTGTCCTTTTTTATTTCTCTTTTCAGCCGGTGAAGCCAACTTCACTGAAAAGTCGATTTTGGAAAAGAAATCTCGAAGTTCTTTCTCTTTTTTGCTCAAATTCTTAAATCCATTCACCGTTAGTGAGGTTGACCTTCTTATTCTTTATTGATTTTGCTGTTGTACTTTACATTTCTGTTGTATTGCTCTCTTAAGATTGTGATTTTGTTCATGGTCGCCTAATTTCTCAGCGAAAATTCTGTTCTTTCACATTACTTGAGATTCTGATGCTATAAACTTCTAATGTATCTCTATACTTTATTCGGCAAATGAATAGGTGGACCAGCAAAATTTTCACAGAATAGAAAAGAAGGAAAATCGTATATACAATAAAGAAATTTAGAGCGAAAAGGAGTAACAAGAGTAACACTTACACTTTTGTAGGAGTCACACTTATTTACATCAGATCAAGTAGCACAACCAACAAAGTACATTGCGAAAAATGATGACAGTTTATGAATGAGTTATGAAAAATTTGGCTCATAGATTTTAAAGTCCACTGAACATAAAGTTAGTGATGATCGTAGCATAATTCCAATTCGATCACCATCATTCAGTAGTGATCAGCACCCGTTGACTCCAATCATCTTGCACGTCCTTTGCGACAATGAGAAACCTTTTTGGTATAGTTTTTTTGAGGAGCTCAACAGCTTTTGCCTTTTTCACCTTGCGAATGAGAAACTCGAAATCAAGATAGGGAATCTCTTCATGGTCTCCATAGTTATTCGGATGATCGAGTAACGTTAGATGCCTTTTCGGATCGTCTTCTTGAACACATTGCATTAAAATCAGTTGATTGGCTGTGAAGGCTTGCTCTTCGTCCTGATTTCTCGTTCTGACAAGAAAAGAGACTACCGGATTCTCTAATTGTTGAGAGTTCTCAAGAAATGTGACAAAATCCATCCAAATTTCAAAATAATCGAGCTCCTCTTTTGTAGAACACAGGTAATATGGAAGCCCTAACCCATCGGGGGCACAGGCATTTTCCATCTTTTTCACGAAAGCTTTTTCCTCACATTTTGTTTTACAATTACATTTCCGACGCGGTGGGTTTTTAAGCTGAAAAAGATACCCAGGAATGGGCAAATCAGCGCCGATCCCTCCAATAACATTCATGGTCGTTGAATTCGCCAATAAAACGTATCCGACCATGTAGATTTGCGCATTTCGAACGATTTTGTTTTTTGTTGCCTCTAACCTTTCAACAATCTCCGAAAAGGTGATCTCTTGCTTGTCCGAGAAACTCACCTCTTCATTTAACAGTTTACAGAGATTTTTGTCGGAGTTGCTCACCCATTGGCCGACATAAATTTGTTGACTGAAATCACTTCGAATGAGCACTGGACAGTTGTTGTCCTTGATTAAAAAGAATTCGTCGTTGAAATTGATCGAATAAAACGCTTTCACGGTCACAGCTGAACCTAGGAACTTGGTTTTTATCGTTTGAATCATTTGAATTAGACAGACAACTTGAAAGAAAGCTGATGATGGTAAAAATTTTGTGATCGGGGAATAGCTACAATGTAAACTAGAAACCAATGTACGTAATAAGCTGTAGTTGGCCTCGACTAGAACACATTTGAAGAGATCAGCTATTTGCATCTCTTCAAAGTCGGTTCTTTCAACTGGAGTCGGCAAATAGAACTTCTCACTCCGTACCATTGCCTCAAGCTCATCCTCGTTATCTTTAAATTCTTTCTTATCCTTCATCGATGAAGTCTCCCATTTCGTTTCAAATTTGTTGACAAGGGGAATTGGAATCAAGTCAATGTACGCATCAATAACTGCCCTCCCAGATTCCAAACCGTCATAGTAAACGGTGCGCTTGAAACGGCCCACTGTTGCTTCGTTTCTCACCATCGTAAAATCATCGAAATAATTGACTTCTTTACAACACAATGGCTCGGAGCTGTATTTTGTTTCCTTTTCCACCTCCCATGCCCAATCGGGAAGTGTTAATCCTCTCGTGAAATCCTCGGTGGAAATCATGTTGCCACCAATTAGATATCTGATGTGTGCATCGATCGGTGCAACAATTTTCTGTCCATCAACTTGTTCTGGTGGCTTCGGTGACGTTTTCTGTAGGCCCTGAAAATGTTAATAAATAGAGAAGGTTTATATTTAAAAATCTACAAATTTCTGATATTCTTCGGACACCCCACCTCAGCTACTCGGCGAAGTCGTGCAAGCACTTCCTCTACATTTGGTCGTTTTTTTCGTTCGAATTGCACGCACCTGAACGCTTTTTGGTTTTCTTTCAAAATCAGTTCACCACTTCTGTATGATGGAATTAATTTCTCCAAGGCATGTCGGTGCCTTCACCGAAGTTAATCGTTCCCCCATGATATCTTGGCACAACTGAAGATACTGGAATCCATAGCTGGAATCGTACATGGCAAACACTCGACTAAACGAATGTGTGAACACTAAAAGCCCTGCGTTTTTACCTCCTTTCAACCGTTTCCCATAAGACTAATCCCAACGAATATACATCATTCAGTGGAGAAGCCTAAAAATAAAAATATACTTTTAAATTATTACTATTGGGTTGGTGGAAAAGTCCTTTCCGATTTTTTGGGAGAGTACCTTAAATTTGTCCAATTTTGACGTTTTATAGCTCATCCTAAAGCTGAATTCAAGACGGATCGATTGGTAAAAACCGTTTTGAGATATCTCTTTTCTAAAAGTTTTTACAGCTATTTTAGTAAAGGGCGGCAGAGCCAAAAAATTACTGTTTGCACGTTTCGTTAGTTTTCCGTGCAGAAACCTAGGATAAAAACATGTGTTTCGTGATCAGCGTCAAAAATAACCCCTAGACACGCATTTTCAGATTCTTAGCAAAAAATTTTTGAAAAATATTGTCACCGGTGGGAGTCGAACCAGCGACCCTCGGATCAATAGCTAGCCTTTCGGCCGCTTTTCGCGATTTTCCTTCGTTTTTCTCGTTTTTTTTGTTTTATCATTTTTTTGATGTTGTTAGAAGGCTTTTTTCAGAAATTGCGTGTCAAGTTGAATCGGAGGAGACAAATTGGACAAATTTACGTTACTCTCCCAAAAAATCGGAAAGGACTTTTCCACCAACCCAATACTTGCAACAAACCCTAGTAGCTGCATTTTCGGGGTTTGGATCGCTAAGCTGAGGCGGGCACATATATCTTTCCGATCCACAAAAAGTGCCACTGATTGATAAGCCATTGTTTAAAACCGTCTCTTTCGATAGTCCAAAATCACCAAGTTTCAGCAGATAGAGTTTTGTCACAAAGATGCTGAAAGCAAGCTTTTATCATTGTTTGAGTTGCAAAATTACTTTCCCGGTTTAATATCTCGATGTATCACCCCGTTGTTGTGAATGTATTCAAGCGCCGAGAAGAGCTGCACACTCCAAAAGAGGACATTGTCGAAGTTGTAGTTGATGTTTGGGTTGAAGATCACTAAATGACGAATCAATTTTATATTTACAGGGTGTTCCAAAAAAAAGGCAGTTCAGCGCGATTTTTCGCAGAATTTCTAGTGGCTTAGGGTGGTGCCAAAATGAATATTTTTGGCGGGTAAATTTTGATATTTTGTCACTCTTCCCAATTTCATGACACCTATATATGAAATTACAGGGTGTTCAAAAAAAGCCAGTTGTCTTTAATTTTCCAAAAAATTTCTGGTAGCTTCTGATGGTTGTTGTGGTGTCAAAGTGAATATGACGGGCAAATTTTTGTTATTTTCACTTTTCCCCGATCTCATGACTCCCAATACCTGAAATTTCTGAGCTACCATGGTCACCACCACCTTATGGGGCACAGCCATGAGACTTTTGCCACAAAATTAAAACTTGGCACTGGCATCGTGGTGCATAATTAACGTGGTGCATTAGGATAACTACAAATTTCAACCATACACTTTATTGATTAGCGTTTCCTTGGAAAAACGGGACACCTTTTAAAGAAGGCGAGTTAAAAGTCTCTCATGTACGATAGATTATCGTGTAATGTAGATGAATAAGGTGTTTGGTTAAAAATCGTATTTTATGTATTAACTCTACCAGAATTTTTTTGGAAAATTAAGGACAACAGGCTTTTTTTTTGAACACCCTGTAATTTCATGTATAGGTGTCATGAAATTGGGAAGAGTGACAAAATATCAAAAATTTACCCGCCAAAAATATTCATTTTGGCACCACCAGAAGCCACTAGAAATTCTGAGAAAAATCACGCTGAACTGCCTTTTTTTTGGAACACCCTGTAAATATAAAATTGATTCGTCATTTAGTGATCTTCAACCCAAGCATCAACTAAAAAATTTACCCGCCCAAAATATTCATTTTGACACCACAATAACCACCAGGGGAAATTCTGATAAAAATCGCGTTAAACTCACTTTTTTTGAACACCCCGTATATTACTGACAGGATAACTATTTGAAGTTGGATTCGAAGTTGGATTTTAAGTAAGGTGCTATTTTTGGCCCCAAATATGTTTGCCAAATTCGAGCTTTCAAAAGGATTCGGCTTGGACTTTAACAAATTTAACTTTGGGGGTTTTTTGGTCACAAATAAGTTTTCTATTTATATTTGAAATTAATTCGTTTATTCGTCACACTTTCATTCACATACAGCCTTTCAGCTGTGTTTTGAAAGTAACAAGCTACAACCATGGCATTGCCTCGTTTCAATCACCTTTATCGAAAGATCCATTCTCGCAATATTCCATTGCAATTCCAATACTCATCGAACTTTTCAGCACCTCTATCTCGACACTTCTCTTATCGTACATGACAATGTAAGGGTGAGATAAACGAGCGTGAATATCACATTCTCTTTTGGCCTCCTCTCTTTTGAGTTCGGTCTTGAACTCAATGATTTTCACAACGAACTTCTTCCTGAAAAACTCTAAAGTTAGCAAAGTTTTTACAAATTATGGTAGCTGAAAGTATGTTAAACTATAAAATTCTGCATTTTAGAGCTCAAAAGTGATTCAAACAAACTCACAATCCGCAAGACTCCTTGAACACGTAGACGTCTCCATAACTGCCACGTCCTATGCGTTCACCGTTAGTCAAGTCGATTTTCATGCTTGTTGTTTTCAAATGGGAATCAGAATATTTGTCAAAGCATTGAGCAAAAAACTCACTAACTACTTGTTGATAAAAAACGGGAAAACCTTTTCCTTTTTAATTCCCGTTCAGAAATCGATTTACAAACGCTCTTTTTCTTTCTACGAAATGGGATGGTGATGGCACTTGCTGGTCTTTTCTTTGCAAAAGTAGTCTCGAGAAAAAAATGACTGTTGAAGGGGAAAAAAAGGGAAGGGGAAGATTGATCTAATAGCGATTAATCTTTTGTTTGTCAACTCAACCGATATTAGAGGGGAACTTGTGAAAGGGTATAGGGAAGGAAGTTCTCGAGGAAGTTCGGTTGATTTTAAATTTTGAGCAATAAAGGAATTGGTCCGAAAAAATGGTATAACCCTCCTCCAATTCATTCAACTCAACGATCCCATATCTTTTCACTGTCTTCGACAATTCAACCTTCGATCTAAACCCACATTTATTTTAAAATAACATAAATGTGTAAATCAATAGTCCCAGCACATAGAGTTCCACAAGAGTTTATACAATGTTTCCTTTGTTTCCTTTAGGAACTTTCGGAATCATAACTGCCACAGCCTATGTGTTTGCCGTTCATCAAGTCGATTTTCATGCTAGTTGTTTTCAAATGAAAATCAGATTATTTGGCAAAGTATTGAACAAACAAGTGAAGCAAAAAGCACAAAGCCAAGTAGTTGTTGATAAGAAACGGGAAAAGCTTTTCATTTTTTATTTTCTGTTCAGAAATCGATTTACAAACGCTTTCTTTCTACGAAATGGGATATGAAAAGGGAAAGCGTGAAATATGAAAGACAGAAAAACATTCGGAATAAATTTGTGAAACAATCTTTTGTTAACTTTATTGATATTTATCTATGTTGACTGGGTGAATTGGCTTCTGAACTTTTATAGGTTTATACAAAAACTTCATCAAAGTGACGATTGAAAGATCGATTTCTTTTCTGATTTCTCCTAGGAGCCATTTTGCAGACGATACGAGCGATCGGCCGATTTGCGATTCCCCAAACTTTGCCATTGCATTCCGGATCATTGGACATCTCAATGAAATTAGTTTTGTTAGTGAAACTTGCAAAGGCACAGATTGCACAGATCTGCAAGAGTAAATGACAAAAACAGCTTCGAATCGGTGCCTTTGAACTCAAGATTTGGTCTAGTTGAATGTTCAAATAAAGCAGATTTTAAGGGCACCCTTTCTCTACCGTAAACGTTCGTGTACTCGGCATTGGCATCAGTGAAATTGACGAGACTCCCATCGGTCCATTGCCCATTGCCCATTAAGTGCTTTAATATCAAAAAAGTGCTTTACAGAGTCTGATGAGCAAGTTCTCGTAAACGTTCCCCACTTTGGCGAGTTGCCCACCGAGGAATAGGCATTTTAGGGAAGCATCGGGATAAGTGGAAGCTGGAATTATTAGGTTGAGTACTACAATTACGGTCGATTTCATAAGATTGCATTTTTAATCCAACGGGAATTTTATTACAGTTTTTGTTTTGCTTTCAGTCAACTACAATAAAGCAAAAACATGGAAGCAAAACAAAAACTGTAATAAAATTCCCCTTGGATTAAAAATGCAATCTTATGAAATCAACCGTAATCCCGGAAAATGTACGCAATAAGAATATTAGTAAGCAAATTGAGAAAAAATGCGCACACTTGATCTTTTGAGGGGCTTCTCACGGTCTTAATATTGAAAAATTTTACCGTTTTTATTAAAATTTCCCCCCTCATCCATCCCCCGAATGTTAATAAAAGAATAAAAGTCACATGATTTGTAGGATTAGTTTTATCGTTTGGTTTTCGTTTAGATGCTGGTTCAAGCAATTTATAAGCTAATCTTAAAATTAAACACCCTTTTAGTAAGTTAGCTGTCCATCTGAAGAGAACACGAGATGTACTTCTTGCATTGTTTCATATGGCTTTTTCAATATGGCTTCAGTCAAACGACGATGATGGCTAATGTGGTAATGAATTTACGAAGAGATTGCTAAAATTTATGTTGAAGGTGTTACAGGTCAGTTACCAGTAGATGTAACCGGTCACATCTAAGTTTCAATGCAAAAACTTGAGTTCAATAGAAAAATCTCTGCAACTCTAGCATTCCCCTGATATAACTAAAGTTTCAAAAGTTGCTTACAATTTATATCAGCCTTTGCAGCTTTCATAGCCAGAGTCAAAGTTAGTCATCTCAAATTGGTCCATGTATTTAATCAAATTCAAAAGACAAAGAGTTGAATCGACTGTAAAAGTCTCGAATTTTCAATCTCTCGAAATGTTCCAACTTCAGACCACAACTCCTCTCCCAACTCCTCCACCCGTTACGATGAACCCAAATCAGTTGAAGTTTGTCATTGGAATGATTGGTACAAGCATTTAATCAAATTCTCCAACTAAAGCATTTAATCAACTCTCCAGCTAAATCAATTTTCAGTTACCGAGACTCAACAACCGTACATCGGTTTCTCACTCACCGGTGGAGTCATTCAATTGGCTCTTCAACAAATCGGATATCTTCATCTATTAGATACAATTAATTTCGAGTGATTGCTTAACTTGGGCATTGTAATAAACCAAGAATTCAGGTTTATTGTCAACTACACGGATTGCTCAGAAGGTGATGCGGCTGGGATGGCCATCTATTTAATGGATAAGATGAATGTCGATGTGATCCTTGGACCTGCTTGTAGTGCCGGTAAAAAAAAGATTAAACAGAGTATCCTTAAGCAGCAACAAGTTTTTCGAAACTGAAAAAAATTGAAACATAGCTGTTGAATCCTCAATTCTAGGAATCACGCCAGTCGCTTTCAACAGCAACTATTATCAAGTTCCACAGGTTTGTTTTTAAGTAAATTTAAGTGACTTTTTAAGTGGTTTTAAGTGATTTTCCTCAGTGACTTGTCACTTACAATAGCATTATATTTTCTCTAGATAGCTTGGGGTTTCTCTTCACAAGCCACCCTAACTGACCCTGTTCGTTTCCCATTTTTGACCACCATTACGATGAATTATCGACAGTGAGTCATAAGCTTTTTTCTCTTTAACTAAACAGCTTTCCAGACTTGGCTATTCACTAGTCGCTTTGTGTCAACTCTACGAATGGTAGGAGAAACAACAATCTTTTTGATTGAAATGTTTAGGGATGTGATTGGTCTGATCACTGGAAACGCCGGATTCGGTAATTGTGGAAACATGATGAATGATGTCACGGTGTGAATTTGAAACAGTATTTACTAGTTAAATGTTCACCTACTACTCAATGTATTTATGGTGTATGATCTATCCAAAGATCTGTGGATTTTAAGTTGAGGAAAAAGTTCAGACTCAGCTGCGAAAAATTCAATTTTTATGCATTTCTTTTGCGGGTTTTTCGCGCTTATAGTGTTGTACAGTCCGGACGTTGCCTCATCCGATCTCTTCCAAACATTACAGCATTTCCTGAATTTTTCCACCGATTTGAGTCATTTGAAGAAGTTGAAGAAGCTGCCAAGAGTTCTTTGATTCGAAACCGAAGGAGTGGTACTTCGACCAGATCCGAAAGCTTGCAAATCGATGGTCATTGCAAAGCTTGCAAGTCGATGGTCAGAAAGTCGCAGATAATGATGGGTTATACTTTGAGGAATAATTCTTGTTATTTTTGTTATTAAAGTGCGCATAAAAATTGAATTTTTCGCAGCTGAGTCAGGACTTTTTCCTCAACCTAGTAACAAAGAACTTTAACTAAGCACATTCACCTAGTTTATCATTCTTTATGGATAATTGTAGCGAGCAAATGACAAAGGCATCAATGCAACAAATATACAATGGCACTAATCAACTAACAGAAAGGCCTAGGTGAATTTAAATTTTAGACAGCTCTCATCGATCCCGCGTTCAACACGACAGCCATCTCGGCGAGTCTACAATACGATACGACCGCTGGGCGATCGGTTCTCGTAGCCCTTTTGAAGAAAATGCAATTGAAAGCGAGAAGTGAAAGCTACGATTTATTCGATTCGACTCTCTTTTTTAGTTTTCGCTGTTTGTTTGCCTACTGATCAATCAAAGAGGGACTTCCTCATCGCCACTACCGAAGCCGGCATGAATAGGTGAAATTCTAAGGATTTTTGGATAAGCGGGGGTAAACTACGAGCAAAATATTGTGTTAATTGTTCACCGTGCAATAGCCTCCTCTTTTCTCTCTCATCTCTCTCTCAGATCTCTCTCAGAGCAACTCACAGACGAAAAATTGCCTATTTCGTCTCACGTCCCTTCTTTTTAGATATTTCCATAAATTGTGAAACATTATTTCAGTTCCGACTATGTTTACATCATGCTCAATACAATGGGAACAGGCCTTGGTCAATTGGGAAAAGGAGGAACAAATGCTGTGAAATGTGAGTCGATTAAATTTTTAACGTCTTCGATTTTTTTTCACTTTAGCATCAGTGAAATGTGAGTTTCAAATGTTTTCATGGTCGATTCTTGGCTTTAGTGTTGACTGGCTTTACACCAATCTGGTACGATACTGTGAATAACAACAGTGATGGATTGGATTTTGTGGCTCAACAGGCGGCAAATAATATGCTCGTGGTTTGTTTAAATGAAAAAATAATCGTAGTTTGGATTGTGAAAGCTAAAATTGCCTCTTTCAAGAGTGTTTCGATCGTTCTTCGACTCATAATCCTTATGTGAGCAGGAACAATGTAAATGCGAGAATGTAAATTAACTTTTATGATCAAGATGCGATACAGTGTACTGATTTGGATTAGCTAGAGTGCAAAGATGAATCAGATAGGGCTTAATAATGATAGAAATAAGTAAAATAAGTACAGCAAGTACAAGAAAAGTCGTTTAGCTCGACACACTAACTAGTGGAAATGTTAATGGCTCAGTTACAACTCAACTCGCTCCACAGGTCTTTGCTTCGATTTTTTTTCTTTATTCATCAACTTCAGGTCCGGGCAAATGTTCGTGGTCCACCATTTTATTGTACAACTCTCGATTGCATACAGAATGAGCAAAATTCGGGCGGAGTTGGAGTGAACTTTTTGCATGCCACTATTTTTTTACACTTACCTACCAGGTCGGAACTTTTGCTCCACAACTCTACGATGCTTTCATGTGGTATGCGTACTGTTTGAACGCCACGATGGCCTATGATCCGATCAATGGAGCGAGAAATAGCACAGCCTACAATCTAGTGCAGACAAGCGTCTCGTTTGTTGGTAGGAGAACGGTTTTTGTGCAACGAAAAAACAATCCTTCCAGGATGGACAGGAAAAGTTCAAATGACATCGAATATCACGAGGGTTCCCACATTTTTTCTATATGGACTTGCAACGAATACTCGCTCGGCTCAATTTGTCAATCTAACATGGGCTGGAACATTTGATTACATGGTGAGTTACGATGAGTTCTAACTACAGCATAACATAAAGAGAGTTAGAGACAAATCGCATTCATCGAAATCACTAAGAGCTAAAATTACAAAACACATGTAATGGAAATTTTCAAGCGAAAAGATCCGTGGAAGCGATAGTTGCCGTTTTGCACGAACAGTTACCCAGGTCGAGACTCGACCTGCGGTTACTTTTTAACACCCAAGTCCCCAATAATCAATCCAATTCAAAATCTTTTTACACTACTTTTTAGAAGAGATTCAGGGCTTTCGTTTTTAGCCAAATTTTTAGCCAATTAATTTGTTTAACCAACAGGAGCCCACTCTAATACCAAGGGCTTTAGTTGAAATCGATGTCAGTACCATAAGTTTTCTTTCGCAAGGTGAGCGGATGGCTTTATGGAGAAGAGTTTTTCTTGCCCAACTTGATCCCTCACCAATCAGATCAATCCCTAACCTCGAGCATACTCTTGTAAAAGAGATCTAACCATGATCGATCCTTCAGGTGGCAACGCCAAATTACGATGCAACGGCCGCTTCCACCACGATCTGGGCTATGAGAGGAGGCGTCGTTCCACTAGCCACCCCAATTTGCAAGTAAGTTTAATGGACGCAAAACAATGCCAACTCACTTACAGCTTTGATGGAAAAAGTTGTCCATTAAATGATTGGCAGAAAAGTGGAATGTACGTCACAATTGGTGGAGGTGTGCTCTTGCTGTTCTTGCTCTTCTTCATCATCGTCATTTTCTATATTGTTCGGTGAGTGAGTTGACGATGATAAGATGCACTTTATACTTTCAGAGAAAAGCGAAAAGAGCGAGCCCGTCAAGATGCGGAATGGCAAATCCCGTTCTTGATGTTGGAACGAGCGGGGAAAAGTCGGGTGAGTGAATGTAATTCTTAAGCTTACTTAATAAACAGAAGTTAAATTAAGATATTTTAAAAAAGAAACTTATCCACTTTAGAACGAGGAGAAGAGCATGCACTCCCTTCAATCATCTAGATCATCGAACTCTTTCAAATCAAAAGCTTCAATGGGCAGTAAAGCCGAAACGGCCACAATGGCCTATTTTATTTTGAAAGGTAAACAAGGTAAATGAAAAATGAGCTTTCAAGTTAATATCTTAATTCCAGAAGAGCCTGTTTTCGCCTATAAATACTCGATGCTTCCGAGGCTGCACAACGAAGATTTTGCAGAGTTCAGATTAGTGGGTCTTTGTTCCGAAATCTGCTTTTACCTTTATTATGATGTTTATGATGTTATCCAAATATGTAACCTGAATGTTCAGTTACGCAAATTGGAACACGACAATGTTCATCGTTTCATCGGCATTTGCCATGATCACTCGCCAATGATGTCAATTTGGAAATACGCTAGTCGAGGAACACTAGAGGTTATTGTAACTTAATTAGAGTGTGTTGATCTCGGATAATGCGATTCTAAAGTGTGGATGCGGAAAAGAAATGCAAATTTTCTCCTCTAATCACATTTAACGCAAAGATTCTTTTGAAACAGGCTAAGAGTTTTTAGTTCGTAAACTTTACAAAATCGCTTCAAAGTATCTATGCACACCTGTAACATCAGTCGATGCAGAACGTGCTTTTTCCAAAGTCATCAATCTATGGTGACTCTCGAAAAAGTCGATTGACTTGACTTGATTGACTTTATTTGATCACAGTTGCTTCTTGCTCATATCTCTGAAAAAGCGCATTTCATCCCCAGTAAATTTACATTACAAAAAATATACGGAAAAAAAACTGTCTTGTTGTTGTGCCGCTTTCTACTTCTTCTTCCTCTTCTTTTCTTTTGCCGTTGTTATCTAAAATAAAAGCATTGTTTAACTGATCGATTGAATAAAACATAGCAAAAAATGGTAAAACAAAATAAAACCTTACTATTAATTACACATCTACTTGAAAAATTAAAACGAAAATGAAAGTGGTTTTAAAATAATCATTTGATTTCATTTAATCGTCTTTATAGACGCAAGCAAAAAGATAGTGCATTTCAAAATGTCATTGTCCAAGAATTACCGTAAGACTTCTAATATACGTACATGTACGTCTAAGTTTCAAGTTCCCTCTAGAGTGTACGTCTATTAGAGCATGTACGTATATTAGAAGTTTTACGGTATTTAACCCATTTATTTGGATAAAGAATTATTTGCTCAAAATTATCCAAATAATTATTTGTCCGAGATCAACACAACGCAATTAGGTTTAGACCTAATTGATCAATAGTTTCTAAGTCTAGGATGTGATTGCAAAGGGAACCATCAATTTGGATACATTCATTGCGATGGCCTTGATGAAAGATCTAGCTGAGGGACTCCATTTCATTCATCGATCCTTTCTGGGTGCTCATGGAAATTTAACGTCACCATTTACACTGACTACATTATACAAAAAAAGTTACAGCTCAGGCACTTGTTGGATTGATGAGCGTTGGCAGTTGAAAGTGAGCGGTTTTGGATGTATGGCCTTTCGACGAGGAGCGAAACTTGAAAGGAAACGTATGTGTTAGCGTGTTTGTAGGACTAATCTATTATTTATTTTAATATTTCACAAAAATAATTTTCAGGCCAACTCTGGCTAGCACCTGAGCTTCTTCGAATGCCACTAAGTGAGGGCACAAAAGAGGCCGATATCTATGCATATGCCATCATTTGCTCTGAAATTGTCACTCGACGAGAAGTCTATGATTTGCTGAATCGAAATGAGAAAACAGAAGGTTGCAAAAAGAAAGTTTTTTTTGATGAAATTCACGTGGAATTCAGAGCTATTATATATGATTAAGCGAGGTGGTCAGATGCCGGTACGTCCCACGTTAAACGTGCACCCAGACATGGAGCTGAATCCAGCAGTGGTGAGCATTTATGCTATTTGGATGATCAATGTTCCTTTCAGCTCCACATGATCCGTGACTCATGGGCAGAACAGCCAATGGATCGCCCTAACATCACCACCATAAAGAGAATCCTCAAATCGATGGTTTGTTTCGGGGAAGACGATACTTTTCAACACTTAATTTAGTCTGGTGATGGACAACAAAACTTAATGGATCATGTCTTCAGCTTAATGGAATCTTATGCAGAAACTTTAGAAAAAGAAGTGATTAAAGAGAATCAAAGATCACAACATGATCAAATGTCTAGGTACAAGATCGAATGGTTGAATTGGTGGAAGAGAAGAAAAAAGGAGATTTACTTCTGCAAAGGATGTTACCAAAGTAAAAACAGCTTCTTAAAACCAACTTCACTGCAACATTCAGACAAGTAGCCGAAAAGCTGAAGCTTGGCCAATCGGTTGAGCCTGAATCTTTCGAAAGTGTGACAATCTTCTTTTCGGATGTTGTTCAGTTCACGAATTTGGCCGCTAGATGCTCACCGTTGCAGGTGCTATTTGAAACTGCTAAGAAAAGCATTTTATTTTAGATCGTTGGTTTGTTGAATGATCTTTATACAACATTCGATACCATCATCGAACAACATCAAGTCTATAAAGTTTGATCCCATAAAAACAGGAAATCACTTCCTTGCATAGGTTGAAACAATTGGTGACGGCTATTTGTGTGTCTCTGGTTTGCCCTATCGAAATGGAATTCAACATGTCAAAGAGATCGCTGAGATGTCATTGGGCTTTTTGGAGACGGTTAAGGTACATAATGTGATGTTGTGTAACCATAAAAACTTCTCTTTGTTTATAACGATTCATCCCAATAAAAGAAATGAAACCATTTACAAAATACATCAATTCAGCTCTTCCGCATTCCCCATCTCCCCTCAGAAACAGTCAATCTCCGAATCGGAATTCATTCGGGTTCTTGTGTGGCTGGTGTAGTCGGATTAGCGATGCCACGGTCAATTTATTCATCTTCAAAAATTGAAATTGTTTTTATTTAGTTATTGCCTCTTTGGTGACACGGTGAATACGGCTTCAAGAATGGAGAGCAATGGAAAACGTAAGAAGAAACACATAAGTAATTAGTTAACTTTTAATTTAGCCGGAAAAATTCACATGTCCGTCGATGCGATGATTTTATTGAAACAAGTGGGTGGATATGATATGGAATCGAGAGGAGAAGTCATCATCAAGGTAGGATGAGAGGAAAATAACTTTAATCAAATGGGTTATGATTTAACTTTTTCCTATACAGCGTAAAAGGTTCCCGGAATCCTGAAGCGCATGCTTTTTCAGGCAATCTTCTAGTTTGCTGCCCAGATAACTTTGTTTTTTTAGTAATTATTTCATTCTTGCATTTTATTTTATTACCACAGACCTTACCAGCAGGATTCCGCGCCAGCTCACAAAGCCCAGATTGTTCAAGGCTGATGCCAGGCCAATTTCCCAGGGTTTCTCACGTAGACTGAATGGCCTTCAAACAGTCCGGATTTGAATCCCCTAGACTATTTAATAGGGTATTCGATAAGGAGACATGGAGAGCAAGCCTTGTGCCACATGATATCCAAATTTTGCTTCTCTGGAGAATGGCCTCTGAGGCCCTTGAGAAAGCCTAGGCCGAACTCGATCCCGAACATGTGCGTATCGCAGTGGAGGCATTCCTCAAAAGACTCAAGGCCTGTATCAAAGAAAAAGGAGGTATATTTGAAAGCTGAATGTTGTTTATGTTGGGTTATTTGTTGAAGATCTACTATATGTAAAGCAGAAGAGACGTCTGTCCGTCTGTGCGCAGCCATTGGTAAAAAGGGGCGGGGCTTAGTAAATTGTCTTTTTCTATTCTTCTTTCGCTTTCTAAAATGCTAAGTGGAAAAATTAAATAATTTTGATCGAATGAATTCAAATTTACGCTCTACCAACGTTCAAAATATCGATTCCGGGAATTTTTTACGCACTCTGTAGGCTAGCAATCTAGCAAGAGCTCAAAAGTTTTAGGGAAAAGGTGTGATGGAGACATTCTGGTTGAATGGCCGGGGCAGTGTGCAACGTACCAGTCAACACATCGAAAGTATCACAGCTAGAATTGATGATGCGATGGTTGAAAAAGCAACTCATCCTGTCCCCCGACACAGTGTGACACCTCCACTTGAGGGCCTCAAAAGTGAATCCCATTCGAACAGTGAAAGCTTTGATTTGTGATCCGAATACCACTTGCATGCTTTATTTTGCTTTTTTATTAAGCATCCCAGTTTAACTTTTTGACTTCATTTATCTCTCAAATGTGTTCACTTGATTCCTCTTTTTGCAATAAATTTCGATGTTTAAAAGCCACTCAGCCGATCACTCAAGCTATTCAAGTTTACAAAGATAGAATGTAAGTTGACTATTATTATACGATACTTCTATAATACGATAAAATAGGTGCTTTTTAGATCAACCAACTCACCGCATAAACAGTCAATCCATCATTATAGCATGTTTTTGCTTTATTGTAGTTGATTTTTGTCAGTTCATTTGTAGTTTCCACTGGAACAAGAGAGCCCGATAAAGGCTCGACCTTGTATACAGGAAACACCATCGGTTTTGATGTTGGCTAAACGAGAAAGTTCAGCTTTTAGCATGAACAACGTTTCCATATTCTATAAAGACAGAAAATTAGAACCACAAACCATCTGAATGAATCGACACCAAATTCGACCCGGATTCACCAAGTTTCTGACATTGAGTCCGATGAAATCGATCGAGAAACTTTTGTCGGAAACAAGTCTTTTCTAAAATTTCTCAATAAGCTAATACTTTTTCCATTTGCATAGAACTAATAACAGAAGTTGACCCAACCAGATTGATAGCCCCGAGTTGGTGGTCTTGTGGCTAAAATTATAAATAAGAAGTAAGATTTACTCCCGCATAGACACGAGTGTATACCCTTTGGGTAGCACTTACGAAAAAGCTCCATCTGTACAGGAATGTGCAGATAGTGCAGCAGATCTCCCAAGCTTCGGTTTAATTTGTCTCGTGTCTCGCCGACATAGACGACGAAAAATGAGCCAACAGTCTAACAGTCAATTAACATGATTAAATTAAAATACGGCTCTTTTTAAAGATATTCAACCGTTTAACAGATAAGGTGGCGAATTTCCCCTCAAATGCTAAAATATTCAATTTACTCAACGTAACGTGTAAAGAGGATTGGCACCTAGAAGGGTTGGCAGTAAAATTTAAAAGGACCTATTTAATTTAAAAGGACCTAATTTAAAAGGAACTACTTGTTTTGACACGTTTCCCTGTCACGCTTGTTTATCCACCGAAGAGTTCACCAACTTTGATACGCCATATCTACAGAAGTACTCGACAGAACCCATAAGTGTTATATATATTCTGAAAGCTCAGGTTGAGCTCTACACGATGGCATCAGTTTTTCTATAAGTTTTCTATTTTATTCAGGGTTTTTTCCCTTCTGAACACCAAAGTTGAAACCTAGAAATTTTCAAAGTCACTTTTCATCGCGATAACGTCGTCAAATCGTGCTGAAAGTCTGTTTTTGGAATCTACGCAAAAAATTGGCCCAGGAAAGTGGAATTTGAATAATTGCAACTGGGATATCTTAGGAGAATTGATTAGGTCAAAAGACAAAATTTCTCGACCCATCAACAAAAAATTGACAAGTCGAAATCGATTCTTTTTGCATTTTTTCTCTTAGTTGGACATCATTTAAGAATTGTTAGTGCTTAGATTTTTGATTTGAAGACAAATGGTTTTTGTACTCGTTGTGCACTCTAGCCAAGCCTGAGTTCACAACCTAATACCTGCAAAAAGTTAGTTGTTATTTTTCTGTTTGCAAAAATCCAAAGTTTATTTCACTTCCTGGTTAACTATTTTTGGGCTTGCATTCATTTTCTTGTCCTACTGTGTAATCGAAACCGAGACAACGTGTTGCTGTTTTGTGAACAGTTTCATTAATTTTTCTCCATATGGAAGTTTTCTGAGTAGAGATTCGATAAATCGTCGGTATGGATCGGTGAGCAACAGAAGGGTGAGCGATGAGGCAGTTCCATGAGAGCTCAATACGCCAAAACATAGATTGTTCAATGCTTGAATTGCTTTGAGTGTTTTGGGTTCTTTTTGCTTACGCTGATTGGTTGAGTCGGTAAGAATGGACAATTTGGCCCCATAGTACAGCCATGGAACTGATAAAGCCGCGAATGGAATCGAGAGCTAATATTTGATGATCTATCCAGAATGAACGTTTTTTTTGTGTTAAACAGTTAAAAAAATAAGCATTTTTAGCAACTTAACGATTGCATCAAGTTAATAACTACAGACTAACAAGGAAAGGTCTACTGGCTGAGGCGACCAAATGCTAAGTTTAAAAGCTTTAAGCTTTAAGTTAAGCTTAAAAGATATTCAGTCAAATGAACAAATTCGAGCCGCCAGCTTTTCCCGACGAATCAGCAATTATCTCATCGAGAAATTATCCGATTTCACAAGAGGACCAAATCGAGCGAATATCTTCAAAAGAATCATTTCGCCACGTCGTGGGCTAACCACTGAATAGCGTGTGAGTTTGTGAAATGAAATGGCTTTGGAGTTTATTATTCTAGCAAAGGGGACTGGCTTAGGCTGTCAAATGCTATGCGACCTATACCATTCGAAGCAGAATTTTATGCATATTCCGAATATATATTCCGTTTTTGTTATTGACAATCTGCAGGAGTTATAAGGGTCTAAAGTTTTGTTGCGTGGCTGAGTGGTACAGCATTCGTTTCTTGTGAGGCCTCGCTCTCGAAACGAACGCTGTACCACTTCGCCACGGCTGCACCGAATTGGGTCCGCAAGGGGGCCCACTAAGACCCAAATGACTACATTTTCAGAGTCCTAACAACTTTAGATGCTTGTAACTCCTGATAGATGGTCATTTAGCAAAAACAAAATATAAATTCGGAATCAGCATCAAATTCTGCGTCGAATGGTATAAGTCGCATAAAATTTGACCAATTTGACCATAAAGCCAGTTGACCTTCCCTTGTTCGTGCTTGCAACATATGCTTACAACAAAACATTCACTAATCAGAATGACGTTGAGTAATTTTTTAGTTAATTTAGGCAATAGTTCAGTTAGTAAGTTTTGTCGTGCAAAAACCACCTGGATGACAAGACTCATGAAAAATTTCTTCTGTTGTTGTCGTGTTCGCTTGCTGATATGAATGAGGACATGAACGAGCAGGTAATTGCATGCGTAGATATAAGCCGAATTCTGAAGCCATTGAATCCCCTCGTAGAAGACTTTGATAGTCCTCGTTTACTCATTTTTTTTGTCCAACTTTTAGCAGATATAAAATACAAAAATAACTCATTGATCATAAAATGCTTTAAAACTTGTCAGAGGGTCAAATGTGCTGTATTAGTTTTGTTTTATTTTTCTATCGTTTTGTGTTACTTTCGACATATTATTAACAGCAATGGTTTAGCGACGATTATTCTATGCCAAGACCAACTCACCAAAATGGCAAGAAATGTCGCAGCAAACGCCACGCCCATCAGAATTAATGGGATTGCACTGAAATTGATATTTGGTGGAAAAATCGGTCGAATTCCAGCCACATAAATCGTTGAAACATTCGAGAAATATTGGAATTCTGGATGTTCCTGTAGCAAAAAAAGGGTTAAAAAAGGGGGGCGGCGGTCAAGCGATTATCGGTGGGGGGAGGTCGAGTTCTTGACCAACTTGCGGCTTGTTTTTAAGCACCTAAACTTGTCAGATCGGAAACTTTTAATAAGATTTAGATAGCTTAGAACATCAGCTTTCAGAAACTATTTGTTTCATTAAAAAGTTATCATCAAAAACCTATCTAAAATTCGGCCGCAAGTTGGTCAAGAATTCGACCCCTCCCCTCGATAAACGTAAAGGTTCAGAAAAAGATTAATGGCATCATGGAGTTGCCAACTTGTATCGCTTCGAGATAATACTCCGTGGAGAGGCCCTTTTGAATGGGTAGCAGTTGAAAAACGATCGGCATGTAAAGGGGATAAATCAACAGGGTCAGCACACGATAGACGATTCGACCAAATGATCCGATTCTTGATAGATTTAATAGACCAAATATCTTTACACAAACTTGAATCGGCTAGTCTGCGAAAGAAGATTTTGCCATTTGTAGAAGAAGAGTTGGTTGAGTGTAGCGCCGACATAGACGACAAAAAATGAGCCAACAGTCTAACAGTCAATTAACATGATTAAATTAAAATACGGCTTCTTTTAAAGATATTCAACCGTTTAACAGATAAGGTGGCGAATTTCCCCTCAAAAGTAAAAATATTCAATTTACTCAACGAAACGTGTAAAGAGGATTACTCGTAGTTACTCGGCCAAAAACGTCGATTAATCAAGTAAACATTGCCCAGGCAATTTTTCTCAAGTAATTACTTACTCGCGAGGAACACACTCTAATTATCACACTCGCTTTTTCTACAGAAGGCTTCAGGTTTAAAGGGGGGAGGGCAATAATTTTGAAAAAAAGTGCTTTAAACTTGCTAAAGGGGGGAGGGGGGGTATAATCGTGGCCTATTCTCACTAAAAAAATATTTTCGAGAAAATTTATTTATTTCGTGTTTATTTGTTAGATTGATTGCTAGAAATGATAAAATAAATTGGTAAAATTAATTTGTTTTGATTAATTAATTTAATTGGTAAAATTTAATTAATTTGAACCCCGAAGATCCTTGAACTTTCTTTAGAGATCGGTAGACACCTAAATTAATTCATAAATGACAAATAAATTTAACAAAACAAACAGAAAAACCATAAAATATGTACAAAGGAATAATTTAAACTCTTAATCTAATACATCAAAAATTAAGCATCATCTGAATCAACATCACTCAAGTTCAAAATCTCTGCAAATTCCTCACTCATTGCTTCTTAGTCTCAGTGCCCTCGGTAAATTTCTGAGTTGACCAACGAATTCGATCATACTTTTGGCACGAGCACCTTGTTGTGGCGGTAAAATTTGTGCCTTTTTCGGTCCACTTAATGTTTCTCCCTTTACCGGGAGCTTTTCCAACAAGGAACCCGACCACAAAGGTGTCAATGTTGAAGAAGCAATTCCAGCTTTTCTAATTCTACCAGAAGATAATTGGGCTTTGAGATAAATTCCTCCTCATCCGACATTGTTTAACTTGAACTGAAACTTTTATGACACGTATAAAAGCACCAAAAAACCAAAAGAAAATACAAAAACCAGAAAAAAAAGCCCTAAAAGGTTGGCCATACGAAATGTGAATTTGAGCTCAAATTAATTTTGCCAATTTATTTTTATCATTTCCAGCAATATATTTGACAAATAAACACGAAATAAATGAATTTTCTCTAAAATTTTTTTTAGTGAGAATAGGCCACGATTCTAAGAATAGCCCCCCCCCTTTAACAAGTTTAAGTCACTTTTTTTCAAAATTATTGCCTTAGTGATTTCAATCAATGTCTTTTTAAACCCACCAATGCCAACTTTGCATCAAGACCAAGCAACGTCTCCCATAGCCCGAAGATTCGGCCAGCAAATGCCGGAAAAAAGAGCTCTGGTCGAATGAGCAACAAAATAAATTCTGTGCTGAATGTGATCAGCTAAAATTTTTAGATATACATTTTTTCATTACAAATACACTTTTTTTTACCTGATAAAAGATTAGATATGGTTGATACTCTTTCATTTCGACGGGGCTCTTTCTCACAATACAATACAATGTGAAGAGATTGAGCGGGATTGAGATTAATGACAGCACGAAATCGTACCATAAGTAAAATGTTGGCTCCTCATACATTTGTCCTCAGAAACGAAATCGAAATCCTTACTGCAAGAGATAAATCGGTCCTTTCCACCTGTTCACCAGTTTCTAGGGTAACAAATCCTAAACTCCGTTTCGAAAAAACGAATTGGATTTATTTTTGAATGGAAAGTAGAAAAGTTCACTGCGATGACAAAATGAGTTTCTTTTTCTTGCTAAATATCTGGCGCAAATCTCAAAACGTTAACAGAAAACAACAAGCCATGCCCCAAAACAGTCGCTCTCTAGGCTCTCCTTCGATTGAGTTTTGCTCAAATCTCCACAAATTTCTCAATGCTAGTCATTTTTTTTAAATGACTACTGCTTATTTCCTATTAAAACTACTGCCACAAACGTCTCGCGAGGATGTTTTAGGCTATGTGGACACTGGAGAAGGATTCGCGTTTTTGCCACCCAACTCGACAGCTTCAACGTTTCACTCTTCATTTTCAAAGAGCGCTTTCAAAGAGTGCTCAAAGAAGTTAAAATCTCAATTGAATCTGCCGAGATCTATTCTCTGTCAGGCTTACAGAAAAAGCCGTTCTATCGACGGCATTTGATCACTTATCAGTTTAACGATCCTTCGATTTTTGGCTTACATCCACAAATCGTTCACACTCAAAAACACGAGTTGCTTCTGAGAAACGCTATCGCTTTCAAAAGCATTAAAATCGGGTGCAAAGCGAACGAGGAAGATGATGAGGACGATAACGACGATAATCGTTACCACTCTTCTTTTTTCCAAAATCTTGACTAAACTTGTGCAAAAAGGATAAACTAATCACATTGTTGTGATGCGTAAGTCTTTACAATTTTTTTTCAAACCTTTGTTTTTACGAAAAAGAATCCTTTATCAAATTTTTTGCGTCCTAAACTATTAAAAAGGTCTGTTTTCTCTACAAAATCACTTTTGAGAGGAAGGTCAAAGCTCGCCTCAACTCGGTAAAAACTCATTTTTGTGCAAACTTTTCAATTGCTGTTTTAAAGAAAATGGCTGAACGAATCGTTTTCAAATTTTATAGATTTATGTAATCAAATAAGCTCTATCTTTTTTACTTTAACACCAAAAGTTTGTATGTTTGTATGTATGGTTTGTATTGAAGAAAGTGTCCAAATTGCGACTTCGGCTTTGGAGCAATTTTGGGTGCTCGCATTTGCGCCTTTGGAAATCCACAAAAACAGCTACTTTCAAGAATTTCACAAAAATCATTTTGCAGAGAAACAAGTAACTTTTTTAATAGTTCAAATAGAAATTTTGTTTGTGGCGGTATTATTTTTAAACGAGGTTTCGGGGAAAATTGTAAAGACTTATGCACCAACCTAATAACATTGTATATGTCTGTGACGCGTTTCTCTGGGTTTTCGCCTGATTCCTGACAAGACTGTTGATGCACATTTTATAGCTTTTCATCAAACTTTTAAAAAACATAAAGCTTTTTCTAAAACATAAGAAATAAGAAAAAAGAGAATAATGCAAAACATAATGTGTTTGAGAATTCGAACAAAAAGAATTCTAGCATTTGATTGGACAAGTCTCACAATTGAAGTTGATAACAACGAGATAATTTCGTCCTTTGAAAAAAAGGTTAAATTATGAATTGAGCCGAGTTTCTCTATAAAAACTATCAAGGATCACGAATTCGTCCAGAAATATCGATCGATTCGATATTTCTGATCAAAAGGTGAATATGGCTGCTTCGAGAATCACTCCCATCATTCGATTCCTCGACGATTCTCGTTGCCATTATCAGCTGATCGATTTCATTTGAGATTCGTCGCAAAAGCACAAAGCTTTCTTTTGAGATTCGTCTCCGCTTTCGGAGCAGCTCGCAAAATTGGAAGAAATTCGCGCAAACTTCTCTCATCTGTGAGCCCTTTTCGCGAAGAAAATCTTCCAACTGATCGGTGAACTCATTCGCATTTAATGCGTGCACTTCTTTCATCAATAAGAGTTCCTCTTCAATTCGGGAAATGGGTATTTCAAGGTAAGCTGTGGTTGTGTCATCGAAATGGATTGACATTGATGCAAACGGGTTGCGACTCGGAATCCCGTTCTCCACGAATTCCCTCATTATTCTCGTAAAGTGCTCAAATGAGGCTATCGAGTAGTGAATGTAGAAAGCGTTCGATCGCTTCAACATCTCATGTGAGATAATATTCGACGAGTTCGGGATAAATACGTAAATGTTCGGCATCTTTTGAAGGAGTGAGCTGTTCATGAAATTTGCATTTAACTTCTCGTATTCAAACGAGTACTCATCGAATGAGAAAAAGTCGATTTCGGCCTCAAATTCCTCAAAGAAACACTCGGCTAGCTGTTGATCACCGAAATTTACATTTAAATCTCTGATCCATTGGAGATTTGACATGTATTTGTGCATGATTCGCCTCAATTCTTTCACCTTTTCACCCTCTTTCTCCCAGAAATCCACGGCCACATGCAACGAGGCACAGGTTTTGAGAAATTTGAAGAAAATCGACGTGCTTTGTGATGAGGAATGCAATTCTTCTCTCCTTCTCGGATCTTTATAGATGATTTTCGTCGATAAATCAAAATTCCCGCATTCGATAAATTGAAAATTCAGACGAGTATCGGCGACTCGCAAAGAAATCTCCGTGCTTTCGCACAAATCACACGCAAACCTCAACTCGTCGATTTTCCCGGGTAGTGGTCCATGTTGAAGGATGAGTTGACGTAGCAAAGTGTTTGCCTTCAACATCTCCATAGCATCCCCAATTTGCAAGCATTTTAGAATAACTTTCTGGAGTTTGCGAGAGAAATTC